AACATGTCGGGTGGCTGTGACAATGGAAAGATAAAATACTAGGCATAAAACTACTGATGTAGTAGTTAAAAAATACTTAGTCTGTAGAAAAATAAAAGTAAATAAATATAAATAATCTTACAGCAGCTCAACAACATGCCATCACCAGTAGTTTGGCAGTAGAACCAGTCCAAAATATAACCTCGGCCTTTATTCCCAATCATTCCAACTGCTGCCAAACATGTTTGCCCATCGCCATCAACAACATCATCATCAACAACAATATCATCCTCATCATCATCAACAACATCATCATCAACAACAACATCATCAACAACATCATCAACAACAACCACATCGTCATCATCAACAACAACAACAACCTCATCATCATCATCAACAACAACAACAACATCGTCATCATCCACAACAACATCATCATCAACGACAACAACCTCATCATCATCATTAACAACAACGTCGTCATCAATGCCATCATCATCCTGTTAAAGTTGCTAAAAAAAAATTTTAAATAATAAAGGTGAACGTTAACGTTAATTTTAATTTGTGTGTGTGCGTGTGCGTGCGTGCGTGTGTGAGCATTATCAACGTCATATCAAATAACTTGAATTAATATTATATTAACGAAAAACAATACAACACAAACAAACAAATTGAATAAAATTAAATAATACTAGAATGGCAAAACATTTAACATCATAAATAACAAGCAATATTAAAACAAGCACAACAACAACGAAAACAACAACGAAAACAACACCAGACTGGCAGTATTACAAGCAGAACATCCCAAATGGTTGTGATTGATAGAACAACAAAATCATGAAGGAATAAATGGAAAAAACAATTCATGATATGATGATATTGATAAATTATTTGGCTTCCTACCACCTATTTTTAGATCATAATTTGTGGTGAGAGATGTGATTTTCACAGAATGATGATGTAGTCTGTGTAGCAATCTCTCATTCTGCTATATAAATGTAGTAAGCTTAAAAATTGAATTGTTCAATAATACCATATTCATTTACACTATATTAAGTTTACACCCTTGATATTACATATTCAATTACACACATACATACACACATACATAAATACACATACATACATACAAACATACAAGCCTACGTACAAACACACGCGCGCACACACATACACACAGATATATATATATATATACAAGCCTGCATCACACACACGCACAAACACACACATACACACATACATAGGTAAATGCATCATCAGCAATCCTCAAAGAGAATATTCTTCAAGATCACTACCAGAGTAACTTTATGGTCACGTGGTAGCAATTACGCAGTTGTATGTGTGGCGTAGAACATGAAACAGGTCCTATTTTTTTATTGCATCTTTTTGAACGAAATTTATAACCAAAGAATAAGTATACTATAAACAAGCCCAAACAAATAAACTTATTTCCTTACTAATATTTTTTGGTAAAATTAGTCTTTGTTCATTGCAGAAATTGAAATGTAACAAACACAACTTCAATCCACTATAAAATATTGAAACTGGTTGATCTACCAGATTTTAAGTGAGTTATGAAATACAATAAACCAAAATGAGTTTAAAAATGGTTGAATGTTAAAAAATTTTAAAGTGAAACCAATAAAAAAACCTCAATATACAAAGAACAAGATAAAATGACTTGTTAACCAATTGATTGATACAACAATGGTTAAGTTTTAACATTAATTTCATTTCCAATTAATTAATTTATACATATTTAATTAGTTATGTATTCAAAAGACTCAGTTATAAAGAATAACTTGGAAAAACTTTCGAATGAATTATTTACTTAACATTAAAACAGAGTGTATTATTAAATAGTCATTAAATGTATCAACTTAACATGTTGAACATGGTGCATTGCAGTGATTATTAATTAATTAATTGCATTAATTACATTAATTACATCACGAAACTCAAAATATAAACCCATATATTTCAAATTAAAATAAAGATCTTAAAACTAAAAAAAAACAAATTAATATCTTATATTCCATTTATTGTATAATATGAAATAAGTTATTTTTACCTTATCAATGAATTAACTAACAAAAAATAATAATTAAAACAAATTATGAATTAATGAAGCTTTAGCTAACTGGTCACAAGAATATTACACACACAATTCATGATGCTAAATTTGCCAGTTTAAATGGAGAAAATATACTTCACTCCAACTTTCTTAATAAACTTTAAAGTTTAAACTTTATTAAAAATTTAATTAAAAATAAAATCAGAATTTAAAGTTTTATGATTAATTGATAATAAAATAATTTATTTCATAACGTTTCCTCAACTTTTATAAAAGGTGACATGCTGTTGTACATAAGCAACTCAGTAAAAAATGCAGTTGTGGAGACCTAAGACTTAAGACAATAAGGAAATAAATGAATTAACATTTCCTAATCTTAAAAATATGTTGTAGCCAATATCAGCTAACAACATGGAAAAAGATATTTTTAATTCTGGTTTTTATCTTAGATAGGAATGAAGTAAAGAAAACATTAACCAGACCAAATGATACAAACAAACAAACATTGATACATAAATTAAATGTCACACATTTACATTTCTTTGAAAATAAGCAAATAAAACTTTGTTTAGACTTTTAGAATACTAAAATTTGCTAACATAACTCATAAGTCATTTACATAATTTATTTTTACAATTAGTCAATTAAAATAGAAGTAAATTCAGTTAATTTATTTTATTTTATTATGGATCAAGAAGATATATAATATAATAGACTAACAAACAATGATAGATTAAATGTGACCTGAATGATAAGATAAGAAAACCAACTTTTTAAATTTTTAAATTAAATGATAACTAAAATAAAAGTGTATAAAATACTAACCCTACCAAATCCTATGCTACAGAACCTAATTTTGTCAACCTCATTTTAATATTAGAAACTACAGATAGACTAACATAAATTAAATTAAAATATTTGTGACAAAATAAAATATTTTTTTATTCAACTATCTATAAAATTAATAAAACAATTATTCTCAGTTTTCCTTTTAGTTAGTATTTAATTTTAATCAAATGACTATGATTTTCATTTTGTCTATTTTATTGTTTTATTTCAATTTTATTTTTATTCATTTTCCCTTTGGGATTTTGGGAAAAATACTTTTAATATTTATTTTCATTAATTATTTAGTTTTTAAATTTCTGATTTTAGTCTCTTTACTTATTTACTACCTTTTTGGCTTTTTTAAGTTTAGTTTTTAGAAGAAATTATTAGTTATACTTTATTTTTACATTTTGAAAGTTTACAACAGATAAACTCATAAACATTCAAGGCAGCATGTCTTAAAAAAACAAAAATCTGAATGACAGAAGAACGAACCTTCTCATGAAAGCAGGCAATCAAATCTCAAATGGTTGGCTTCTCCTCTGCTCTGCCGCAAAATTCCTCATCACTTTTACATTTTATTTATTTTTATTTATTGCGGTGCGACTAATAAAAGCAAATAAAATAAAAAAATTTTATAAAATAAAATTTTAAAGTTGACAACATTTAAAAAGTTAAAATCAAAAACTCAATAACCATGTACGAAATAAAACAAACAGACAAAACACTTAATTATCAAATTTAATCTAAATATACGTGATATGCACCATGGATATATATATATATATATATATATATATATATATATATATATATATATATATATATATATATATACATACATATATATATATATCCATGATAAGTACGCGCATACAAACAAGCATGCTTATCAGTCAAATAAATTAATATTTTTAACGCTTGTATTTTAACTACATGTTGCTAGTCCCTTAAATTTGATGTCAACCGAAGACCTCAAACAACATGAAACATAAAGCACGGTCTTATATACTGTAGTTTAGTATACAGGACCCGAATGTGTTTCCGTCACCTACTAGTTTAAATTTTGAAACTCCCAACACCTCCAACGCGGAATAAATTATAAAGAGCTCGCTTCCAGTTCCAATAAATTCTATAAGTAAATGATATCGTGGCTCAATACTTTAGCAAATTAACGTCTTTATGAGCGCCCATACATATCATTAAATCATATGTAGACCACTGACAAGTGGATGATTCATGTCAAATTACACTAAATAAGTAACAGCGCTGCGTCTTCCTTGTATGTTTTTGCAGCACGACCCCATATATGAACCGTGGGGAATGGAATTTGTTCATAATTTAAACAACCGTAGTGAAAAAATAGAAAAATTGAACATTTGAACAAAACCTGAATAATGTAAGCAATGGTATCCAATTATAAACCAAAATAAATATGTGTATGTTTATTAGTGTAATGTAATGTATTCTATAAACTTATTTAGAATAAATATACCATACTGGCCCTCCAAGATAAGACAAGATAATGAAGATGATGCTTACCTATAGAATGGAGCCATAGTTTTTTATTTCTGACATTTTTTCAACTCTCTCTTTTTTATTGTCCAAATTTCGCTGCAAACAGCATACTACTTCCAACTTTATGTTTATTGATATGTTACCACTTAATCAAATTTCCTCACGCATTAGTTATCCTGTTGTCACACAGAATATTCTACTGAACCACGCCCTCTCTCAACTCATGCTATGTCATGTTACGTTGTGTTACGTTATGCTGCTATGTTACGTTATTCCATGCTATGTCATGTTACGTTGCGCTATGGTGTCATGTTATGTCATGTCATTTTATGTCTTTTGAGCAATTGATGATGCTTGTTTAAAAAAATTGAAATTTTCAAGTTAAATTTTTTGTCACAACTTATTTGAAAATTCGTTGAACATCTCGAAAATGATGTCAAACAAATGTAATCAAAAATAAACTGGTGAATGTTTAAACATGCTTATTCATTGCTCTACTAAAATAGCATAAAAGTAGTCGCACTAAAAACGAATGAGTATAGAAAGTTTAGTTTATCAGTCATCAAAATAATTCCATAATTCAATAGCGCCATCATAGAATAAGGACAACTGCTTTGTACTCGTTCTTCATCGTAAATAACCCCACCCAGAACCCAATCTTTCAAATAAAATTGTTAAACAGTTTTTGTTAATTATTTTGCATTTTGAATTCTAGTTAAAATATAACCTGGTTCATAATTAGAATATCTAAAAACCCCATTTCCAAAGAGAATTATATTCTCATCATTTAATCCGAAACCTTCTTGGAGCAGCTTATATATATACAAGCCAAAAAAACAGCCATTCCTGTTTCCATATTTGTAATTCAATTCCAACGGTAACGAGGTCTTAAAATGGTTAATGAACGTTTGAAGGAAAAAATAAAATTTTTTTACTAGTGAAATATTTAATAACCTTCTTACAATATTGAACCATTTTATTTAGCATCTGTGACAAGTTTGACCTCGAAGGATTCATGTCAAGAAATTCGAAAACACGGTTAAAAATTCCCAAAGCGTAAAACGCCTGTTGTATCAGTAATGTTTCTAGCTTAAAATGGCAATGTTAAAAACTTTCTACTATTTACTTCAGTGGCGTAACCAGAAATGTTGAACGAGGGGGCATGGTTTTCTGAAAAGGCTGACAGCCGCTTTTAAAGATTATACAGTTTCATGCCAAAATGTAGGTTAAAATTTTGTAGAATTTAACCTTAATATCAACAAACATATTCACTCTGGAAAACTGCAACCTAATTGACACCTACCCCCTTTCTTGGCTACGCCTCTGGGTTCTGCATTAAGTACTTGTTTATTAGGTACAGATGGTTGGTACACTTTGTCTAGTCTGCAAGGTTTATCAAAACATTCGTCGTATGAGGTTTTATGGAATAATGAACTGATCAACTGTAAGCAGAATTCAACGTCTGCACTTCCTACCAACTTTGTACCTTTCCAGTCAAACACAAGTCCTACATATTATTTTTGATGCTTTCAAATAGAAGTACAAAAAGTATGCTTGAACGCTAATTCACATGAGAAAAAAATTAATTTAAAATGACGTACCTGCATTAGAACAGGGATAATCTAGTGCAAGTTTGCTTTTACGATTAGGCCCTACAACGATATCTAACAGTTGATCTTCTAGTGCGTATGGACTGAAATTGATGTAACTGTGGGCGTACAAAGGAGATCTAATTTGATTCAATGTCACTGGAAATAAATCTTCCAGTACGTCATTTTCTGGGACAAATGCTATTTGAAATGATTCCTTTTCCATTTTCAATATTCCAAATGTTTTTAAATGCAGTAAATTTGCTATGTAGTATAAAACAAAATTTAGTAATTATAAGATAAAATTTAAAGTAACCAACAATCTGCTTTTGTGGCCTTATGATGATAATTAACGGCTATCCAGGCAAATGCTGCTTCCTCTTCATCTGACACCAATCGCAAACTTCTTAAAACAAACGAACAGTTTTGTTTAAAGTTTTGAACAGTATTGATAGCTACTTCATAGCGATTACCAAGCAAATAATATACACCTATAAAAAGCAGTCGAAAATGCTAACTATTTCGATGTTATGAAAATGCAGAGAAGTTTACTTGACGTTATAAAAAAATACATCCGAGTGAACTCCCAAACCACCTCAGGTATATTTTGTTTAGATCTTTCAAACAAAGTATCAAAAACCAATTTTGACCTATTGCGACTAATGAAAACATCAAAGGGGTCATCAGGTGTTTCCCACTTCGTCACGATTCTGTAGTCCGGACCTTGGAAGGCAGATCTTTTACTACGAATTACACGTACGTTTAATCTTGATGGTTCAACGAGGACAACCACTGTGTACCAGTCATCAGTCAATGTTTTAAACTGAGTCCTCGATTCATAGTTGTCAGCGCCACTTAATGATAAAATTATCAAAGTGAACCATATATTCCATAAGCTATGCATTATAAGATAGATATCGCATTTTGCATGTACATGTAAACAAATAAACAGCCAGCCTGTGGCATTACGTCAGACTAAAAATAGAAATTTTCAATAAAATTTTGCTAACAATCAGTTGTTCGATACACAGTGGAAAGTAAAGAGTAATTATTCAAATTTCGGCGCAAGCGATTGCACAAATCAAAAATATTTAAAAATTCTAGTCACCATATATTTTTTAATTATATATTAACTGGAATCGAGCTAAATTGTAAGTTATATTCAATAGTTTAAAGTTTCTACCGGATATTATTGAAACATCGATAGATTTGTAATACCTTTCAACCAATATTTAGAACAAAATTTAATTGATACACCTTGGAAACTCCTTAGACGTACTAACATATTACAAGTTTTCCGTAAAAATCGTAAAGCACATGGTATTACAAACTCCAACCGAAAATAGGTAGTAACAAAAACACGATCTCTAGTATCCTTAAAACCACTGACGCACCAGCAAACCTTTTCAACAATCCACCTATATAATTTATTAATTTAGTTGCGTAAAAGCAAAAAAGGAAAACAAAACAACCGATTTTAATGCAAAATTTTTTAATATGGCATAACATTAAACAAATTGTAATATTGAAAAAAATTAACAATAAGATGAGTAATGACAAATAAATGGTATATATATGGTTATAATGAACGTATGAATAAACAGGCGGCATCAGTTCTTATCAGTTCCACCTAATTTCAGACCAGCAGAAAACGAAGAAACCATAGAGGCGTCAGAAATAGCCAACTTTCTTGTCAACCACCACATCAACAGTGGCTGCGATATTGATACAAGGAGCATCATGTACAACTTTCTTTTGTTGCCTCTTTCAAAAGAACCAGGATCAGAATGACCTTGTATGGCAACTTTCAGCGATCTGACCTTATTTTTCAAGCATAATTATATGAAATATTAAACAGTCTTTGATTATGTATAGTTTATAATGATTCATTTTGATAGAAATTAACATTGAACGAGAAAAAAAATTAATCACACATAAGCAGCTGCATGTCACATTGAAGTGAATGTTGGACGAGTAGAGTATTCAAGAAAACTAAAACCTTAAAGTACAGAAATGCTAACTCAAGAGTGAAGAATGGTGCTCCTTAAAAGTGTAGAGCTTTAAAAAATGAAAGACCTATTTTATTTAAAAGTATTAGGCCTGAAAACAGGAACGATTTTCAATAGAACATAATAAAGTTTTTGAAGCAAGGCTTATAATTCAGCTTATTCGATTATGGCTTCAGGTAAGAACTTTATTCTAAAAAACATCAGTGAGTTATATAAACAAACATTGAACAGGAGCAATTGATTTTTGAGTCAGCCACAAAGGAAGCCTGCATGTTTATTGCGGAGATGATGCAAATCAAAACATATCTAGCCAATCCTTGCCTTTCAGTTCAGTTTATTCTACTTTCCATTAAATACATCCATCTGCCTACTTCAACCACTTAACGTGTGGAAAATATATCTTTTGTGATATTCATTTAAAATCAGCAAAGAGTTTTGCAATATCTAGCACACTGCGCCGTTCATCATTCAGAGATTTTGGTAAATAGTTCCGTTTAAATTCTCTTTAGTAATTTATATGAAAAAAAACCCATTGATGTGAAATTTAAAATAGTTGACATACAAGAAAGTAAGCAAGAGAAAGACTCATCCAGACTAGACCACAGTAGTATCCAGTTGACTGAAACATGACACTTAGCATCAAGATCATAATCATCCTGTTGGTGTTGAAAAACAATCATTCATCAATTTAAAAACTATTATGCAAGATATTTTAATAAATAACGATAAATGCAAAAAAATTGAATTACAGAATAAACTTAGCTAAAAACAAAATATATAATATTTTTACAACTATTAAAATACAACGGAAAGGACATCAAATGACATACCCTACGTATTTGTAGCCACAAAAGGCCAGCCAATCTAAGTACGATGGTCCATAATCACCAGTTTGTATGTTGAGTATGCTTCTTGTTATCAACAAGATGGTCAACTCTAACACTGTCCATATCAGAGCAGTGCTTGAAATAACCCCCAACTGCTCTGGAGAAAACCTAACAAGTAGATGATGATTGGTGGGATTTATTCAAAGTTTTAAAACCTCTTATCAGATCCCAAATCAACTGATGCAAAGTAAAGTAGGGCATTATCTAATTGATATTATAACAAGTCAGCCTTATAACAACAAAATTAATGCCAAAATAATTAATAAAATATAATAAAATTAATAAATATAATATAATAAAATTATTAAACATATCAAACAAATAAAACAAATAACTTTCACGTTACATATCATTACAAATATGAAAATTATATAAGAGACCATAACATTCAACATTTTCTCATTACATCTTCTTATTATGCTGAACAAATAAATGAAAAATGGAAAAATTAAGGTGAAAAAACCTGTTCTGCATTCCCAGCAACAAACCAGCTAGCAGGGTGTATGTCACAAATGCCATCACTGCACAAAAAAGTTTAATAAGGTATAATTTGTAAGAACCACTAATGATTATCTAAGACTACAAATTTGTCAGCACAAAAATGTAAAATTGAGAAATGAGTAAAAAGATTTAAAACATAAAAAGATACATCATTACAAACATGACATAAATAATCTTCTTATCTGTTATAAGTGCAACAAAAAGTGTGAACACCCTTGAAAAGTCTTACACAAATCTCTTCAACATATGAAAACATGTGCAAGAGTTGTGAACACAAACAAAAAGCGGTCATTTGTGGAACAGAAGATAATTTGTAATTCGTTGATTTGTAATTCATTGAAAGAAATATAAGCATTAAAGACTATTCAGAAGAAATTTTTTATATGATATACATTAAGACTATCATAACACAAATTTCTAAAGAATGGGTATAACTAACTTTCTAATAAAATAACAATTGATAAGATATATCATTTGTTTCAAAGGCTCAAACAAACAAAAAGCATACCAGGAATATAAAGATCTCTTGCATTAACATCAGACCTGGGGGCTTGGGGTTCATCTTTGCTGTAATTAACAGACCAGTCCTGCAGGCAAGAAGACAAATGAAGTGGGTACAGTACACATTTACAAGGGTAGATTTGATGTAAAAATTATCAATGTAGCGAAAATATACATATTTTATAAACGACTAATCTTCTTAAAAGATTATTTCATCATACTTTTGTCACCAACAAACTGAAACATTACTCATTTTTTAATCAGTTTCTCAAAATATATTATAAAATTTTAGTGACAGCTCATCCTTTATTTTCTCCTTTATATTTTGTAAGCTATTCCTTTCCTTAGCACTGCTGCAGAAATGAACTTAAGAAACTTAACTGGACTGAATGACCTGTGAAAATAGCTTAACAGAAAATCGCACTTGTGCAGCAGTAAACAAGAAGCAGTAAACAAAAATCACACCAAATAAAATGCCATTATGGTTTATGCACATATTAGCTGTGGGATATTTGGATATTGTTTACACTGCTTAAAACCATCTTAACTCATTAATCATAACAAATTAAAAGTTAAACCATCATACTTCATACATACATACATATATAAATACATCACACAGCATGTGTATAAGGAAAGTAATAAATACACAAAATAAACAAACTTTGTGTGCAAAAGGAAAGATGAGTAAACCAATTTTCTTGACTACATAACTCGTATCAACCGAGAAATAAAACTTCAAGTTGCTTTTTGAGACATATTTTTCTATCTACAAAATTTAAATAATTTTTATAAAATTAAAAAATGCAATAAAGGAAAATACAAATAAATCATACAAAAGATAGAGAATATATCAAGATACACAATAAAGAAAATTTGTAAGGTGAATAAACATTTAAATTACAACATAAAAACCACCTACGTGGGCAAACATTATCTAACAATCAAAATGTTATCTACATTAATAAACAAACATTATTTAATAACAAAAACCACTAGGGCTGCACTGGATCATACTTAGCTCCGGTGCAAGCCTAAAAAACACACATTTTTATTAAGGAGGTCTGTTCCCTGTCCAGCTAGTGTCTGGCCATACTGCATTGCCATGTTGGCCATGGGATCATTGAAGAGTTGTTGGCCAGGATATGAAGGAGGAGGTGCTGGTTGTCCATACGATGCAGACGCATTCGAAGCTGCATAGTCTGCATCTAAAAAATTAAATTTTTAAAATTTAAGTATCCAACTATGATTTAAATTTTAAAATTATATTAAAATTTAAAGGTTTTTAGCAATGGTTATTATTCTTTGATTAAAATTAAATCTAGATTACATCTGATTTAGAAAATATTCTTTAAACATTAGTCAATTAGTGACATTAAATTAAAACCATATAAATAGACACAAATCCAATAAAATAATATTCATACTATAAAAATTTGTTGGTTGTGAACCATAATAGTTGTAGTCATAATTATTAGAAGGGTATCCATAGGTTGGTGGATTCATTGACGTGTCTTCAAACAGCTGAGTGTTTGTTGGCGGTCTGCCATGACCACGATTTTTTGGACCTTTGCTTCCTTAAATTTAAATGGCAAAAACTTCTTTTATTTTATAACAATTTTTTGTTGTCGAAACTGATTTATAGTAATAATCATAATAAAAATAAGATATTTTAAAATAACAAAAATAACTAGACAATTCCTAACCTTAATTAATCACCGGTAACAAGTGTAAATATATAAAAAGTGTAAGTCTGATTTTATATATTATATTTTATATTATGATATTCACATATTATATGAGAATGATTACTTCACTTTCACCACATTTAATCAAATCCATCATTCATTTTATTCTATTTTCTATGGCATACATTTTGCTATGCCACAGAATAGAATCTATGGGGCTCGTGGCAATAGCAACTTTACAGTGTAAAGTTTACAAACTTGAATACTTACTAGCTAGTATTATTATTATAAAAAAAATGTATAAAAATGCATCTTTTCTTAATTCTTAAATAAAATAATAAAAATTTCAGTGACTGATAAGAGATAAACAATTAATTTCATTTACCTGTTTCATGATAACGATCACGAAAAAAAAGAAAAAAAAACGTTTTATTTGAGAAATTAAATTTAAGATAATTGCAAGTTCCATTGTGGATTGGATTGGCATTTTGGATGAGATCATAAATGTAATAAGACATACTTGGATCCATTGACAGTTGAAAAGAAAAAACTGGTGGTGGCAACTTTCTAAAATACTAATTTAAAAATTAATGTCACTTTTACAAAAAGTTATTGAAACATTAATTAGAACGGAATCCAGTTTTCTTCACATCTGCCACGACACTAAGAGTGAATAGAGTGATGTAGATGTGTGGAACATAGAAGTTTGATAAAGCTTATTTTTGACTTTTTTCAAAAGCCTGTCGTGTCCATATACTTAGAATCGTCTACGTTTGTCCCGCAGTTATGAAACTAATGAAAACGGTAATTTTTTTGTCTTAATACAACTGGTTATTTGCATAGTGCTTATGGTTTTTCCATGATTTCTAAACCCTGATTTAATTTATTCTAAATTCATGTTATTTCAATCCTATTTTAAAAACAATAATCACCTGGCCTTGCATTTTTTACTACTATGATTTCACTATCTTTGAAGGGTACCGAGGGGGAATGAATGACAAACTCGGTGTTATCTGAATCTTAGCTTGTGTATTCTAAGATAGCCCTATATTCAAATAAAACAAACGGCTAAACTCACAAAGATAAAAAATATAATAAGTATAAATCAAAAAACCCATTACATTTTTGTTGAAAACAGCTTTTGAATCCGATCTGCGTGTAACAATTAAGTGATGACGAAAACATGACACTCCTATTAACTTGGGTGATTCGCCAACCATATCATACATAATTATCAAGATCAAAACGCATAGTTTTAATCAAATACACAATTAAATAAAAATGTATGTATATGAATAACTTGTGATTATATATATATATAGAATAAATGCAACGTTTAGTTAAACCTCAACGTTTATTCTGGTTATGTGAGTTAAATATTTCAATTACTTGTCTATGTATAATGAGACAAAACGGAGCTTAGAGGCACCCTCTATTTACTCATTGTATATTTTTTCAGCGGAGATTTAATTACTTGTTTTCTTTCTAATCGACTTCGAATATGGGTGAGTTAAATGCGATCGTCTTAATTTTAAACATGTTTTATTTATCTTTTTAATTTTTATGCAAATGTTCAAAAAGTTTCTACATTCAAATTTTTTGATTGATAGATAACACTACTTCCACTAGTTTTTATTATATAATTATTTTTAGTTTCAGTTTTTTTACCTGCTCTAAAAGTCTAAACTTTAATCTAATTCTAGTCCTGGCCTGGTGGAGTTCATCTTTCTTGGATTTTTTTTAAATTATTATATAGTAGATCTAATAATAATAAATGAAATGAAATTCATAAAAAAATAAACCAAAATAAGCTTGCAAATTACTGAAAATTTTTTTATAAAATAAAAATAAACTAATAAAAATAATTTCATTCAATCAATGAATCACAGGATGAAATATGATATAATATTAAATTAATCATGTATAGTATATCATATACATTAGTAGAAATTTGCAAATGCAGGTAAGGTTATGCTTATGACCTTATGTCATGACATGTTTTGTAAAGTAAATAAAATCAATTTTGTTTTAAATTTAAAAGCAACCATTATCTGATTATCATTATATTAAAAAATTAATTGAAATGCTAAAAATGTAAAAAGTAATAATAAAAGAATATGTTTCTGTTTCTGGCTTCATCAAAATTTTAAGCTAAAAATGTTAAATTGGTTTTATTTTTAAAATAACTCATGGTTTTCTTTAAAAAAATTTAATAACTTAGCATGATAAATAAAAATTAGGAATATTATTTGATGAGTTTGATGGAAGTAAATGCAGGGATAGGATGTTCATAACATTAAGATTAGATTAATTAAAAATAAGAATTTAAAAAAAGAATATAAAAATTCTCTAAAACTTTTTAAAACATTCTATGAGCTTTATTTTATAATTGATTAAAACTTCAATTCAAAACATATTTATTAAATTTTATTATCTGAATAAGTTGGATGGGGCCAGTTGAATGTTAATTGTGAGGAAGGAGGACTTTGAAATTGCAATAATCAGATGTCATATTTATTAACCATTACATTGACTCATTATTATAACTATGTGCAAATCTTTGGATAAAAACAAGAGCTGTAGAAGCTGCTATTTTATTATAATTAATATGTAATTATTGAAATTTATTCCATTCAGGCAATAACCATTAAGGGTAATTTTCATTGGAATTACCTCCATGTTGTATAAGAATTATTTTAATTATTTTCTCTAATGTTTTTACCTTTAAACAGGAAAATATACTTGTGAAGCATGCAAAAAGAAATGTAAAAAAGAAGCAATACGACTTCAAGAGAAATATTTTCATTTAGAATGTTTCAACTGCTCAGGTCTTTACTTTGCTATTGTCAAATATCTATAAATTAACTTTTGTTCTTGTCTAACTTAAATTCTGATTTCTGTAACTGAAATATTATAACCTATTCCAGAATGTCACAAGCAGTTGAGCATGAATGGATTCTACACCAGGAACAATCTGCATTACTGTCCTGAGGATTACCAAAGATTATTTTCTGTGAAGTGTGATGCATGTGGAGAGCTGGCTGAAGGGGAAGTCATGACCGTCCTTGGAAAGTCATTTCATCACCACTGCTTTAAATGCTTTAAATGCAGGTAGGGACCATTCACAAAGTATTTTTTTGCCTTGGAAAGATGATAAGCTTTAAGGTTTGGATTTGAAAAAGTTAAGTGTCTTGATCATTGACAGGCACCAGTTACGTAATTGAGAAATATGAGATGCAGAATATTTTCACCTATGTTGTGAATGTTAGGATCAATTTTCGTTTTGTGTCCAGGTTTCTCGAGGTAGGACTTTGTTTTCTTTGCCATCAACTTTTTGCGTCAAATTAGACGATCAGTTGTATCCATTTCATTTAAATTTAGAGCTTTCATGTCTTGCTTGATTGTTTGCGACCAGGACTTCTTTGGACGGCCTTTGGGACGTGTGCCAGGTACTTCAACATCTGCAAGAGAAGTTATGGCACTGTTTCCACTTCGTTTGACATGACCAAACCACCGCAGACGATGTTGCCAGCATTCGTCCTTTATATCATCTAAACCAGCACGACGCAGGATTTCGGTAGATTTGATGTGGTCCTTCAGACTAATTCGTTGCATCCATCGGAGCATTTTCATGTTGGTTCGTTGAAGTTGTTGTTCCAGTTTGGTTGTCATTGGCCATGTTTCTGCACCATATAACAACACCGGACGTATCACAGATTTATAAAGTCTTGATCGTAGTGGTAGTGGGATATCACGCCGCATCAATATAGAGGCAAGGAGATGACATTTATTTCAGGCTGCACGTATGCGTGCTCGAACGGCAGCTTCAGCTGTTCCAGTACAATCCAGAACATCCCCTAGATATTGAAACGATGTGACTTTCTCTATTTTAATGGCTTTATGTGACTTTCTCTATTTGGATGGCTTTATGTGACTTTCTCTATTTGGATGGCTTTATGTGTGTGTGTATTGGGAATTTGTAGATGGTAGTGTTGTAAATAGAACATAGGTCACTTTGAATTGCGCTAGTTAGGTTATAAGATAATGTAATATATTTTTTTAGGGTTTATGTAATAAACTTTTTTCTCGTCCCAAGTTTAAAAATGATTCCATACAAGTTTTAACTTTAATTTTTTATTAGTTATTTCTCAGATGTTTGTGTGATTCTTTGAACCTCAATATTTGTATTGGCTGTTATTGATTAAAATAATTAATTTATTGCTAAAGTCTATTTGAATTGTTGTTAATATTTTTATGAAATGAGATAACAGTTCAATTATACATATACTTGTAATTTTTTTTTTAATAACTTTGTAGCAGTTGTTGAATCTTGTTAAAATCTCATTGTAGCAAGCTGTTTGAACCAGGAGAGAAAGTAACATTTTCCAAGAACATTTCACTATGTTCGTCTTGTTGTAAGTTGGAGGAAATGAACAGTGTGTCTGGAACGCCATCTACATTGGGACCAATGAAACAGGATAGCTCATTGAAGCAGGACAGCTCGATGGAGAGCAAGCAGTCGTCGCATCCACTCTCTTCCATGTCCAAGCCCACCTCTCCAATCATTCAAAATGGATCTATACCCAACCAACAGCCTGCTGCTCTCTTGAATGGAGGTATGCATTTTGAATGTGTCCTCTTTTGTTTACATTTCTATTCAGTTGTTTCCTTTAAAGCTTGATTAAGGTAACACATACTTTATAATTTCCAATTCACAGTACTGGTAATATCCACATTCTAATGTCTTAATAATAATACAAGGTATCCATTTTCAACTTTTCATTAGGATTGGTCAATGGAGTGGAGAAATCAGTAAGTTGTATGTATTCGATCAATTGCAAATCAAATTCTCTGGTAATGTTGAAATGTACTTACGACGTTCCATGTTCTTACCATTAATTTATGTATTTTAGTCGCTAATTATTTGAATTTAAACTTCAAAGAAAGCATCATCGCGCAGCCTGCCTCGCATATTTGGCATGCCTGACAATCGATTCTACAATATTTCTTACCTGGAGAGGACCCAGTACAATAATTTTAGGAGGGGCCCTGTCCAGAGTGCCACTGAACATTCAACTACCCATTACCACAGGCCTGGTGGGTCTTGTTAAGTTGTACCAAACAATTATTCTAAATGTTTCAAGTGAATGCAATATTTATTTTCATTCCCTTCACGTGGAAACGTTCTCTCAATGTTGTTTTTACATGACACCTTTAATAATTGTTCTGCTTTGATAGATTTGTTTTGTGCAATTGCACTAATGCCTTTTGCTTTGTTTTTTTGTACCTACAAATGAATATTTTTGTTAGCAGATAACTTCAGCTACACCAATTTCAGAAAGGATTTTCTCCCTGACAAAATGAGTTTGTATTTAGTTATTTAGTTTATTAATAATATTTGTTTAATTTGCCTTTATGTATGAAAGTTTTGTCTCATTGAATGAGTTTTTTTTCACATAGTTTCTGAAAAGGTATTGTTAAAAATTATGTCAAACAAGTCTGGAGTAATTTACCAATATAAGTTGAGGGGAACTTATATTATTGTTTCCTTATATGGCGAGTATGAACCCTAACCCTAATGTTAAATGTTTTCATCAAATGTTTTCCAGCTACCATTTAAATTTAATCATTATGAAGATAATTATCAAATGAGCAGGTTATATGGAGAAGATGACTTTTGCAAAGAGGTCAGAGACATCTGAAGCCCTCATGCCCATTGAGAGAGATGATTGGCCTGGACCGCCTGAGCCAGCTGCTGCTTACCCGGAACTCTGTACGTCTGTTCTCTTCTTTCATATGTTCATTTATTCTTTTGTTTTAAAAGTTGAATGACACTGTAAATAACTAGACCGGCAATTTAACGCATAGCATACTAATGAGAAATTGATTTCATATTTTTGTAAACATTGTGTATCTTCAAGCCATTCACATTACAGTTCAATTACCTTCATATAATGATTTTACTTTGAATGTTTTATATCATAATTAAGCTTGTTTTTATTTAATGAAATATTATTTGCCAGTACATTTTTTTTAAAACACTTTCAATTCTAGTAAGGGAGAAGTTTTTTCTCAAGCCAACATCTGGAGCAGAGTTTGTGAATGTGGAAGGTGAGGAGGCCAAGAGAATTGGAGAACTTCAAAAGATGTCAAGAGAATCTGGAACTGCCGCCGTGTTTTTGAAGGAACTTCAGAACTTGAAGAAGGAGGGATCTCCCAACTTGGACCCCCGCAATGCATCACGTACTCCTTCTGCTGCTGTTGAACCACTGCACAAACCAAGATATGAGACACCTTACTATGCATGTTAGAAGCTGCAGATCTACTTGCAATATAGCATTTCTTGCATTCTAAATTTTTAGCTCTACTTGTTTGTCAACAAATTTGAATATATATACTTATTTTTCCCAACCGCGACTGGAAATTTGTTACCTTTTCCAGCTCCATCTCGCTACTTGGACATGTTGCCACACAGATCCAAGTCTACTGATAACAGCATGAGAAACAAGCCAAAAGTTGAGGACGTTGTCAGACCATATACTTCATGTTAGTTCATTAACGGTGTGCTGTTGGTTTTAGCTATGTATAATATTGCTGGGTTGCATTACAAGGTTTATAATTAATTATAACATCACTAACGTTATTGCTTATGTAGGTTTTTCTCTATTGTAATATTCAATTCTATTCTGGCCGTTACATTAAGAATGTAATTATTGCTATTATTGTTAGTTGTTAAGGTTTGTAATAAATGTAACAGTTGTAGTAGTGATTATAATGGTTGTTAAGTTATTGGTTTATGTTGTCATTGTTGTTGTTGATATTTTTATTATATAACCACTATTATTTTTGTTATTTTTATTTTTTAATGTCTTGTTTCCCTTATTATTATTATTATTCTTTATTGATTGGACTAATTATGCTAAAGACTTACAATGACTAAACTATTAAGAATGTAGCTGAGCAGAACATTGACATATTCATGTTAAGATAACATACAATCATGTTCAAATGTTTATTTATTTGCATGATTCTCACATCAAGTGTCATAGCAATAACAGATGTTTTGAAATATTTTCATGCTGAGATTATACATTTGATCTTTTTTATGTTTATATTTTTGTCTACTTCTGCATGAAGCCAGTCTGAAGTTGAAAATACTTTAGCTGCATTTAGTAGTGACAATAATTTAACTTTAAATTCATCATGTCATTATCTGTTTATAATTATCTAGCATTCTTGGAATATATCACTAATTACAAATTAATTATTAACCTGCAAGTTTTAAAGATCTGATAGCAAATAAATATGAACAAATTTAATGAAGAAAACAAATACCTGTAACAACTTAATGAAATGAGACATAAAAATGGGTATAAAATTGTTGAACAGTGGCCATCAGAACGGGTAGCAGTCTGAATACGAGTCTGCCCTATCGAGTTGGATCATCAATGGAAGCCAGGCGTCGTTACACTCCTCTTGTTTGTTACATTTTTTGTATCTGTTTTCATACAAAAAATATTTCTAAATTCATGTTTTCAAATGATCTTTTTGTTTTATTGATGCTTGCCTTGCTTTCATTTAAAAACTTTTCAATGAACAATTGTTGTTATTGGCACTTTTTACAATTTTTTCCCATAGCTATAAATAGAGAGTCATTATAATAATAAAAACATGAAAGAAGTTTAAATTATCATGTTTAAATGCAGCCACAAAAACTACTTGAAGTTTGTTACACTTCAAATTGTTATGTAAAAAAAAGCTACATATCGGCTTAACAATGCAGCTTTATCGTAGTTCATAAACAAGTGTATGATTCACACACTTTGTTCGTTTAGGAAGTGTTTGCACGCACACACACACACATGTACACGTACAAACACACACACACATGTACACACAGGATTCATCCATCTATGGAGATGATGACGACGACAGATACAGTAGCAGGCCTCAGAGTGCAGTCGATGGATTGGAGCCTGGAAGATTTTGTTAGGCCCCCTACAACATTACACTGCTTTGATTCAATTTAATTCATTATTCATCAGTGCTTGTTGATGAATAATAATTAATTATATTATAATCATCACTTAACGTCATGATTATTTAAATTACTTAATTGCTTCACAATTAGTTATTTTGTGTAACTTTTTAGAGAAGATGATTGTGACTTCATTACTATTTCTTATTAAACAGCGTCACTAAGAGTTGGAGAGATAGATCCAGACACTGGATTGAGAGTTAGTCCTTTAGATGTTTTTTTTTTCATTCTAATCAATGCTTATCTACTTTTTTTGAAATAAATGTTTAAATAATAAAAGAACTTAATGTATGTATTATAATTGACTGAATTTTATTGTAGTTAAAATTCATCTGAGAGATTGATACATAAGATTTTAAGATAGATATATAAGATAGGATGGATAAGAATCTATCTCAATGTGTTGATTGGTTACGTTTACAAGTAAATGTAATGGATGATTTACTGAACGTCTGAACGATGTTACCAGCAAAGCAAACACATGAGGGCAGCCACCTTGCCTATTGGATTGACTGGATTTTCAAACTTCACTAAGCTGACTGCCGTTGGACTGAAATCTGCCGAACCTGTCAAGGTTGGTTGGTTGGTTGGTTGGTGGGTGGCTGATTGGTTGGTTGGTTGATGGCTGATTGGTTAGTTGGTTGGTTGGTGGTTTATTGGTTGGTTGGTCGGTGGCTGATTGGTTGGTTGGTTGGTGGCTGATTGGTTGGTTGGTTTATGGCTGATTGGTTGGTGGCTGATTGGTTGGTTGATTGATTGGTTGGTTGGTTGGTTGACTGGCTGCTTGGTGGTGCATCAGTTGAACTGCATTTTAACATTCCTTCACGAATTCGCACTAATAACAATTTAATAAAACTTTCATAATAATGTTATTATCCGAATATATTGTCAAACGTTTAGTTATTCATGCATCTACGTGTACAAATCAAGGTGTACCCGTATGAGCAGTTGCTTCAGATAAATTCCAAGCCTCTTCCTGGAGTCAACAGAAACGCACTTGAGGTTGCATTTTTTTGAATTGTTCATTTTTTCTTAATCTTTGTTCTATATTTATTTATTTCTTCCTTTTTCTTGGTTCAGTTGTCTGTTCTGCTCAGATTATTGTGAATTGTTAAGTTGATCTAGTGCATGTCTTGATAACTTTTTGAGTGTAGAAGGTGTTAAAGTTTTGGATGTTATGAATCAGCTCTGTTGAGATGAAAAATATCTATGGAAATTTTAATGGCTCAATTTTAGTTTAAAGTTTGTAAAAATTGGATGTAGAATAAAGAAATATATGTTTGTTTTTGTTGGTTGAAAGTTTTTCAATCAAGCAACATGCCTTTTGAAGTTAAAAATGAGCTCATTGTTTATTTTTCAGTCGTAAAACTCATAAAGTCACAAGAAAGAGTAATTTAAAATTTGTATGTTTTAATAGAATGTGTTCAAATTACGCCGATTATAAATATATGCTATATCATTATGATTGTTAACATTGCGCTGATAATGATGCTGACGACGATGATGATAATGATGTTTCAGAACCACCTGTCGAAAGAAGAGTTCCACACATTGTTTCAGATGGATGCCCATGAATTCTTCCAACTGCCTCCCTGGCAGAGGAATGAGTTGAAGATCAAAGTTGGCCTCATGTAGTTATCTGTATTAGTTAATTTATTAAAGTAGTAGTAGTAAGTGGCAGTAAGCAGTAGTAAGTTAATGGTAGTAAGCAGTAGTAAGTTGGTAATAGCGTCAGTGGTTTGTAGGATTTTGAAGGGAAGTTTCCCTCTCGGGCTTAACTTGCTGACTGGTTGATTGTTTGGTTGATATGTTTGCTCGGTTGATGGCTCGGTCAGGTGATTGCTAAACTAACGATTTAGTCAAATTAAAATAATTTGTAAATTTTGAAATAGCTTGCAATTATATATATTTTTTAATGTATTTCAAATTTAACAAACATTTCTTGAAACCAATGTTTAACATTTATTTTATTTCCCAATTCGTTCACATAAGTTTGATATTTGAAAAGTGTACTTTAAATTCAAGAGTATCACGCAACTTGTGATGAAATCGTTAAACCAGCCACACTAAATTAAAAATCATTGATGAATAATTAAATTGTAAAGAATTAAAATTGTAGAACAGCATTCTTGGGATTTAGAAATTAGATAACTGTTTTGCATTCATCATTCATCTTAAAATTGCTTTAACTATGCTTCTTATTTTTACAATTGATTTATATTGAACATTTCATACGATTTTATCACTTTCAATTAATAATTTTAACTTTAATTAAAATCATAAAATATTTTCCAATCATTAATACGACAATATTTCAATAATATTTTTAATGAAGTTTGCACATTCTTCAAAAGATTAAATCACGCTCCCCATCATCACAATGCATTCATTATTCACTCATCTAGTTATACGGCACAGTCCTCATTATCATCATCTTCATAATTATTGTTAGGTTTTAAGACATGTGCAATGAAATTGTTACATTCATGATTTTGAGCACTAATTTGTTACAATGAAAAAAGAATCATTCTTTAAATCTGATAATTATCAAACAAATTTATATTCATCATGAGTATTCATTATTATTTCGTCGTTGAGTATCTTAATTTGTAATGGAAAATTTAATGCTAATTTCAATATTTTGTTTTCATCGTAGTCTATCTATCCATAGCCCTTTACATAATAGCTATGCGGTTGAGAATTTATGATAATTTATGATAAGCCATCCATTCCTACACAAAGTAGATAAATGCATCAGAGCATTGTTTTAAAATCATTATTTATGTTTGCCAAATTATTTTATAGCATCCTTAGTAGATGCTTATACTGTTATACATTATTATTGTTACTGGCTAGTTTTTTTAACTAATTACTATTGTTACTGGCTAATTATTAATTATTGTTACTTGATAATTACTATTGTTACTGGTTTTTTTTGTTATCAACACTAATACTAGTCTATTCAATATCAACACCTAATTTTTTTTTCGTTTAACATCATGAATTGTATCATAAGATGATTTAATAAATTCAACTAAGTACATATATCATTTTTTGCTTTTGTAAGTTAGTTTACGTATACCCATACACACACACCGCACATACAAACACACGCACGAATACACACACTCACACATATATATATATATATATATATATATATATATATATATATATATATATATATATTATATAATTCTTACGGAAACATCCAACTAAAAACAGGTATCTATTGAATAATTTGAATTGAGTTAATTAGTGAGAATTGTTATTTGTTTTTGAAGATGAAATTTTTTTAATGTTTTAATTTTAATTATTATTATTTATTAAATCAATTAATGCTAGCGACTATAAATTTTAAAATTTGTATTTTATTGAGCTTAACGCTTTTACAATTATGAAACATTTTTTCACTGTCATCTTCATTTATGTCTAATTATTATTATTACAATTTTTGTGGTTAAGTCGGAGATCCATCCTTGGTGGCAAGTTTATAGAAAATTTTAAAAATTTACAACCACAACTAAATTTTTTTACTATATAATTTAGACCTGTCGTACAATAACGCAATTAATTTTGGATTAGGGTTAGTGTCGGCGACTTAACCAATTTTACTTTGATGTGCGTTAACAGCACTACCACCATACCATCAGCATCGTTATCGTGTTTATCAACATTCGAATTTTGTATACCTTTTTCAGTTATGGTCTGCCGCATCGTTCTCTTTTTGCTTCTGTTTAGTAATTCGACATTTTATACTTATCATTTCTAAATATGATAGTTCTGCTTAGTTTATCAATCATGTTTTAGTGGCTTGTGTAACTTTTTGTTTGTTCATTCATTAGCTCTACAGCTCTACGCGTGTTGTGTAATGTATGTATGCTAGTGTTGCTTAGTGGTAGATGTTCAAAGTTATTAATTATCATTAGATTCACATTTAATTTTGTAATATATATTTATTCAATAAATTACTTTAAACATCATAACAGTTAAACAACGAAACATTTATTGTAGCATTCAATTATTTTCTACTAAAATTTTCTCAAAGGTTAATAAAGTCGAGAATTTATTTATGAACTTAACCTTGGTTAAAGTTTCTATTCAACATTTCGTGGATGTTCAACTCTTATTTGGAAGTTTGTTAAATGTTTCCTATCCTATTACACAACATTTGAGACTGTTTCCTGTATTTGTGTCCTGTGGTGCGACGTCTTTGCATGCTAGTTCATGTGAAACCTTTTCATCACGACACATGGTTGGATGGCGGTTAGATGGATGTTTATTATTTTATTTATAATGTTCCTGTCTGATGCTCTGCTGTTTGATATTTAATTAACTGTAACGGTTTATATCATTTACGATTTATATCAGTTTTTCTATCAAATTCGTATTTGAAATTAGTTTTGATTTTCGTTCTTTTTATTTAAAATATCAAATCGTTCATTTCATTCTGTTTTGTTTAAAATAAAGACATCACAATAGCTTTTATAACGATCGTAGCTAAGCTTTAATCTTTTGGAATCCACATTATACATACATATATATATATATATATAACAATTAATATAAAATATCTATATATATATATATATAACAATTTTTCGTATGTTTACTTGTAATTTTATAAATTAAATACAGCTACGCGTATTATTACATGGACGCATGCATTTGTAGAAATATGCTTCTTGTCACGTCATTCATACTTGCATATTGATATTTGCGTAGCAGGCAGGTTCAAAGTTTATTCTACAAAGTATTTTTATGCTTCTATTTAAATATATTACGCTTTGAATGTCTGATTCAACTATTCAACACCACCCTGATAAACGTAGGATATGAAAGTGGAAATTTTCAAAACTTCGTGCTGTGGACACGAACGTGGATTTATAAATTTTGGTAAATGAACGTTATTTATGACCTGAGAAGACTTGAAACGGAATAAAAACCATTCATCACTTCCAGTGTCGACATTTTTGAAGTGCCGGAGTCGGATATATTTCGTATACATATTTTTGTAAAATTATTTCAAATATAGCAACATTAAAATGAATTAAAATCACAAAGTCATGGTTAAGAATCTTTTTCAAAACTTTCATTCATTTCTATTCTCGCTCAAATCTTTAATTTTAAATGTTAATTTGGGAGTTTTGTTATGTGCGTATTATCATTTCATTGGTTGTTAAAATCAAATTTTAGACCACTCACAAAGCTTTCGTAATTCCACGTTCAGCGATCCTAATGGTCTTGACTTTCAAGATATTTTATTTAATAAACAAGTACAAACTGATTTCTATGACATGAAACACGATAGAAATTCTAAAAACAAAATCTAAATGCATTAAAATAAGCACAAAAACTCTGTTTCCTCCTTTAAACGATAAATCGTGAGGTCATGCTAGAAAAATAAACTCCTGAAACAGTGAATTAAACGGAATGGATGGTTATTTAAGTGTCATCCAGCATGCACACGTACGAACTTGTGGTCTGATTTTCAGATAACATGAGGCAAACAAACAGCTTTGTATAACAGGCTGATTTAAATGTTGCTACCTACGTGCAAATGCTAGATATTGACGCTTAACTAAATTAATATGCATTTCATTAAAGTTGAGAGCTTGAGACACTTTGCACTTCAGTTCACTCGAAAATTAGATCAACTTACATTTTAAATGTGAACGGATAACTACCAATTCAGATTTTAGGATTTAAAAGTTTCAACTGTAGATTGTAATTATTCATTTTTATAAACTGAACCGAAATAAAACAAGAGATTAAGAGTTAATAAAGCAAAAAAATAATGATAAGCATTAGGATGAGTAAGGCAAGTATTACAGATATAAGAACTGTACTGTACACTATACATCGATCTATGTCAGTTACTATGTTATTGGTTGTTATATTACGGTTAAATCTAAAAATTTGTAAGATTAATCTTAATGATCGATTGAGCAATGAGTAAAAAAAATGAAGATGGTGCACGGCCAAACTCTAAAAAAGCATAAAAATAACAATGAAAACGTACAATCTAGAAAACCAAAAAGATAAAAATAGACATTTAAGCATACCATATTTATAATTACAATCATCATCATCGATCGAATCATATGACTATAAAAATTGGTAAATTAGCATACCGCATTATAAATGATTGTGTGAGCGTGTACAATGTACTGTACTGTACACGTCTCGGGTTAGTACATCTTCACGAAACTCCTTGATTCATAGAAAATAATATTGATAACAATCGTCATCAACATTACCAATATGTGCTCCTATTGCACTACGTTGTGCGTGTGTACAAATTCGTTCGAAGAACGAAAAATATGATCGTGAAGGCATTGCGTGGAAAGGGGAAAAAAAATTTTTCAACGTGTCGTACATCATGTCAGATATAAGAAAATATCCGTCTGGAAGTTGGTTATACAGCTAAATGTTGGCACATAATGAAGGTAACAAGAATTTTTAACAGTAAGGAGAGGCAAGTTTTTGCAGTTCACATTAGGAAATAGACATGAAGGGTGAGTTGCCACGTCAAATCGTTTACAATTAATCAGTTATTTTGTTTCCAGCACATAAAAGTTAATGCAATGGTGCTTTCTAAAGAATAAAAATGGCGAAAAGGATATTATTTTATTTATGATCACGAGTTTGTTTGCGAAATCAAAATTAGAGCAATGACAGGATGAATGATTTGATAGGGCTCTAGAATACAGACTATCCGGACTGTACACGAATCTTAGAAAATTATTTTAAAATAATGATGGTAATAATGAAAAAAAAATTAAAACCAGGATCAAGAATGAGAAAAATAAATTAATTAAAATATTTACATCATTTAAATTAATTTAAAATTAATTGAAACATAAAATACGATAATGAATAACAATGAAATTAACTGATCTCAATCAAATAGAAAAAGCATTTTATAATTAAAACAACCAATATGTAAACATGAACAAATTGAAGGTAGCAATTTTAAACTGAAAATTATAAAACAAAAAAACATTTTTTAAAATTAATTAGAAATAGTTTAACCTAATTAAAAAACTACAATGCAAATTTCTATAAAATGGAATACCAAGCAAACAAAGAAACAAACACACACACACACAAACAAACAATGCGTATAACACCTGCAACGTAACGAGTGACTTCCGCCAATTGGACGAACGTGCAATTAGAAACACAAAAGAACTCATCTAACAGCACACAATGAATTAGTAAAGAGAAGCAAAACTGCAATAGTATCTATCCGATAGCTATGAGAGGTCCAGGCATCAGGTAGCAGGAGGCTTGAACTTATTGATGAAAACACGGATGTGGCCCGAGTAATCTGCAGAGACCAAAACTTCACAATAGCCACCTCTCGAATTGTCTTTATCATCCTGATCAACAAATTCAAACTGTGGCTTGATGATGGCTTCTGGGTTCGGGGCGAATATGGCGTTGGTGACCACTGCATTGTGTGCTGTTGCGATGGTAAAAGTTCATGACCTAAGTTATAAATATTATCTAAGCAATGTTTGTATAAAAAGAATATACGCAATAATCTAAACAGAGCATCAAGCAAATAAATATATTTATTACAAATGAACATCGAACTACCTTTGATGCTTTCCCAATAATCATTGCGATCTCTTCTGGCCGAAGAAAATTTATAGAATTCGTGTTGAGTCTTCCATATGTACACAAAGTGATCCTCAGATCCACACACGACGTATTTGCCATCGTGACTGCGAAAAATGTAGTAAGCAACTTTAAAACATCATCCAATGTTAGTATTGAGTTCAGGTTTATTTCACGAAAAAATATGTTCCTTTGGTAAATACAGTAATTACTTCAAGCACTCAATTTATTATTATTAATGCCAAGAGTTAATGATATGAAAAATCATTAAGCACCACGACACAAAAAACAAAAAATAGAAAATTTAATAATCTTTTTGAAATCACATTCCCACCTAAAGCTGGCTTTAATTTGACTGGTGCTGTTTATGACACCTTTGTATTTGCAGGTCAAGGTCAAATCCCTAAGGTCGTACAGGCGTATTCTTGAATCATTTGACGTCACTAGTATCTGGAATTTGTATGAAATGAAATGATTGCAGAAATGACAATAAATTTAAAAAATTTGAAGTAAAAACTGATAGATGAAAAACACATTTCAAATGCAATTTAGCAGACGATATGATATAGAAAAGTGAGGAACAACTGACCTTGTCCTCGCCAGGGAAAGGTTCAACACCGGTGATCTTCCTGCCTCGAGCATTCTTTCCTCTGGTCGATCGAACGTGGATTTGAGTGAAGTACTTCAGCTGCTGTTCACGTGGAAGAAACATTGAAAAGAACATTCAAAATTATTTGTAGCTCTACCATAAAGTTAGTATGGTGCTGGTGGAGACGACGACCTTTCCAGCATTACGTAGTCTAAACTAAATCACACACAATATTCGCGCAGATCAAAAAACTAAATTTACAAATTTTTACCATTTTATTACAGATAGCAACCGTTATTGAATAGTTATTAATTAAATTATAGCATGCAAATTTAAAGGATAAGAATTGAAATGAACTGACTTCCGAGTTGTAGAATATGCATCTGCCATCATATGTACCTACAACTGCAAATCTTCCATTCAAACAAAAATTTGCTGCTGTTATGAGTTTCGTTGGACCTGAATAAATCAAATAGTATATTAAAAAAATCTAATTTAACTTTTTCATTTGCTTATTGATTATAACTATAATCCATTTATTTTCATTAGAAACAACAAAAAATATTCCAATCTCGCACCCAAGTGCAAATTATTTTATTTGAAAACTTGTAACCTGACAGACAAAATTAAATGAAAATACTGTAAATGTAATCAAACATATGGAGGAAATAATATAACAAAAATGAACATTCAACATGAGAAATCCACCTGCAACTTCATTCCAAAGGGCAACTTTCTTGTCAGGAATGTTCCAGAGCCTCAACTTTCCATCTAGGGAACCACTGAGAAAGTATCTGTCATCCTGAATGAGTTTTAAAATGGTTCAACATGACACAAACTGACCAAAAGATATATTTGTTGATTCAATCATACCCACTAAACTATTCAATCTACTCAATACAAGCATAAAATTAGCACAAAATTTTTTATATAAGAATAAAACAACAAAAATTAGGATAAAGTTTATTAGTTTTTAATCAAATGGAAAAATAATATATCATTTCTACAGGCATAATAGTGACAAAACCCCAACGGAATACATATTGTAATGAAAACATATTGCAGAAGTTGGAAATCAGTAATGAAAAGTACATAGTCATAATAACAGACGTGCAAACGAACGAACCTTTGGATGGAATGATATTGCAGTAACAAAATCAATATGTTGGAAGCAACAGAGGCACTCCCTCCTTGAAACATGCCACAATCTCACCGTCTTGTCCATTGAGGAAGATAACAGAAAGTAATTCTGCGAGTTGTTGTGGTCAGTTGATTCATGAAAATAAGTGCATTTGTGTAGAGTAATAAAATATTTCATAAATGAAATAATGAGCCTACTAAAAGAAATTATCGTTGAAACTTATGCTTTTCATAAAATTAAACAAGGTATCTACCATAGATCAGGTGACAGACTACACGTCATAATCTAATAAGCTTTCAATCAGCAAACTTGAAAAGCATAAGATAGAGGGAGAGGGAAGAGAAGAAAGAAAATAAGACACAAACTTTGGACCAGGAGACATCAAGGACATCAGCTGAGTGACCTTTGTAAGAACAGAAGGGTTTCTTGTAGAATGGCACAAACGTGTTGTCAGCTTCGTTATCATCAACTGCCTAATTAAACAAATTAATCTTGTTGTTCAATGATCAAAACAGTTTATTGCTGTCGCACAACAACTTTAGAAATAATTCATAAACTTCAAGAGTACCCATCCATTAACTACAAACCACTTCATATAATGTAGAAGCACAGTTCATTTACGAACAAAACATACCTTTATACTTTTCAGATGTTTTATTCAGACAAAAATAAAATATTTTAGTAAAAAATTATAATTGTTTAATATGTCATAGTAATAAACTAACTATTAAAAGCAATGAATTAGCATGCATTGAAGAATGAGCATGCAACAATTATTAATGATATTTACAAAAGAGCTATGAACTTAGCATGCTGCCCTATCAAGTGCTACTCGTAAACGAAATATCAATCAGTGAACTGTGGTGCAGCCAGCAACAAAAGTTATTAGGTTCACCGAGTGTTTATCATCCACCAGGACGAAATCAAAGTACGACAAAGAGAAAGTTGTTTTATGTTTTTGGATAGAAATTGTCGGAAACTTTTAAAAGTTCAATATAATATTTTCAAATATAAAATATATTCAGTCATATATATTTTATAGGATACATGTTACAGTCAGACACTTGCTATCAGTTAATTTCATGAAAACTTACAGAGCATTCCTCGTCCTTTATAGTAAAAAATTTTTCAAAAATGCATTTAAAATAATTGAGAATTAATTTAAATTGTTAACCATTTAACAAAATTTTGCTAAAATGTTTAAGCAACCAATTAAAATTTCATTGAAACAACTGCTCAAAAATAATTTACCAGCTACGTTTTTCATCAACCAATTATTATAAACAAAACATCAATAAATATAATAATCCACATTATAAGACAACGTACAATAAACTGTAATACATAATCGACAAACCAATCATAAATCTCAATACATGACAAGCAGCCAATAATAAACCTCAATATATGAAAAAGTGACTAATCAGAAGCCTCAATACATGAGCATAGATTAACCAATCAACCAATGAGAAATGACCAACCTCGTCAAGTGCAGCATCCAACAAGATGGGACTACTTGGCGTTCTTGTTAGTTGACCAGCTATGTGTGCGTGTGTGTGTGCGTGTGTGTGTGCGTGTGTGTGTGTGTATGTGCGTGTGTGTGGCACGCCATCAGGGGAATGTAGGAAAGGTAGAATATTATTGGATGAATGAATGAATGATCGTATGAATGAATGAATGAATGAATGAATGAGTGAGTGAGTGAGTGAATGGATGAATAAATGCAAATACATACAAGCATGCATTACGCAGATACATAAAAATTAATGTATTAAAAATTAAATTTTAACAAATTATAATAAATTGATTTATTAAAAAATAACTATCTCCAATATTCATCCACAAATTTGCAATACTACATAAAATTCAACATGTGAAAAAGTAAATGTTTGTTATATTAGTTGAGTATGTCATCGCTGATGGATAAAACAGAATTCAAAGCAGGGCTCATATTTTTATACCAATGTATCAATATTATACATCCTGCGTTCTGCTAAGTAGAATAAATAACAAGGCCGTTGAGAAATAAAAAAAACCTAAAATCAAATTCATAAAAAATAAGTTCTGGGTTCACGGGTTAATAACAATTTTACAAGCGGTGAATATTTTTTTTAGTCTTTATTATTGCAGCTCTAACAAACGCAGGACCACTACTTACAATGTTACAGATATATTATCTATATATCTTTTAATAAGAATAATAATATGTGGCATACTTATCAGATATTATCATTTACATTTCCCGTATGCAAAATATTAAGAGCAGACATGTATATTACTGAATATTACATGTATATTACATCAATTCATTGATGTGTGTTAATCAATCATCCATATATGAAAAATCAATTATGGATACAATGTCTTCAGGTTCTCACATAGAAGTACTTACATACACGTATATATAAGTACTTACATAAAAGTACTTATATGCACCTAGTTACATATAAGTACTTACATATATTCACAAACATGTGCAAGGTTAACTATGTCACAAACACGAACCACCCGTGCATGCATGCATCAATGTCACAAACACGAACCATCATTGTACTTCATCCTCATCTCATTGAAAACGTTGTAGGCATCCTTCACCACCCACACCCTCAGCACTCCGTCGCGTCCGCCTGTCGCCAACAATCGGCCACAGTGCGAAAACTTCATGGTCCACACAGCTCCCTGCATGCAGTGGTCAGTGGCGGTCGTCAGTACGATGATTAATGAGTAATTATTAATTATTTGAATGAAAATCAATAAAAATAAAAACGTATAAATGTATTAAGATTGTGGCCATCAAAGAAATCAACGAAGGAATATCTCTTTATAACTTAGCATTAATGACTTGATAGATTATTTATTGCGAGTGGATAGCATAAGGACAGCTAAAAACCATCCAAATGAATAAACAAGTTGAAAAATTAAAAGTAGCTTTAAGCTCCTAGTTCATCATTTGTTTCATGTCACTGTGAAATGATGTCTTATTCCATTCAAAATTCTGCTAATGTATAAATCAAGCGTTTACAAATGCTTCTGCTAATATACAACACATACACAAAAATTGTACTAAAAAATACACAAACCGATTTGCCATCCCCAAGCTCTTGAATGGGAACAAGAAGATCAAAGTCATAAGGTCCTTTGTGTGAGTGAGATGTTTTCACCTGGTATAGTTGCATTGTAATGAATGATTATATAACAGACAGATGAGCAAATAGATGAGGAAAGATTGAAAATTTTCAAACAAAATTCCATTTTTAACATCAACATAATCAAAATAATATGTTGTATACGCACGACATGATCGGTTACTGTTTATTAACAAACATTCATAAGCTACCTTGATTGTTCTTCTGTTTTCGGCGACATCATCCTCATCTGTCGAACCATCCTCATTGTGTGATGAAGCTGGTGTCGTGGCAAACATCCAAACATGCAGTCATCATCAATTTGAAGATTTCAAAAGTAATTATTTATATTTAATGAACTTCATGTATGTAATAATGGGAGAAAGAATGTGGGCGAATGAATGATTGAGAATGTTCAGATCAAGTAAAATAACAAAAGAAACATGATTGAAACACCTTTTTCTTTAACAGATTTGATCTTATGAACTGTTTTACCAAAGAACTGCTTGATTTTTAGCCTAAAATATTTAAAACATTTAAAACACTATTAAGCATTCATAAATATAAAAGAATATCTGGAAAAAATGAGCAAATAAAATAATCAACGAGGGAAGGAAAACGAAAAATGGAAGCAAGGAACCTTCTCTTGCCCATGCCAGCATTGTTCTTGGACTTTTTTGTGTCTGAGAGGTTATCTTTGTAGGACTCCGAATCACTTATTTCAGTTTTGTGAAGATTGGAATCGCTACTGTTGGTGGGTGGCGAAAGTTTTAGAAGAAACTCATCATAAATCAAATTTTTTACTTTTATTAATGCCAAATTTAATTCTTAATTTATGGCTCCGAAAAATTTGTTCAACTAATTTGTGTGAAACTCATTGAAGAAATTTGAATCAAAAGTTTGTAGCTTAAACAGGTCTCTTGATGAGAACTCTAAAACTTAATTACTATAATTAGATTTCTCAATAAAACACTAAACCCCTTAACAAGTATTCCTAGAAACTGAAATTATTAAAATGAATAATAATTTTCTGCCAACCCGATGAACAATTATAACGACATTTTGAAATAAATAACCTAAACCCTAACTCTAACCTTGAGTACTCCTTGGTCCTCCTCATGATATGCAACGATAGTGGATTGATGCACTTGGGTATCTTCTCTTCAGCCGAACTCAGAGGCACAGTCTCTCCAGTATCCAAGTTAAGAACAAACACTTCCTCCAGAATCTCCTACAGTAATTAATAAATTATAATTTATCAAAAAAATCAAATTTTTAAATAAGTTTTCAAACAGTTTCATCACATATGAACGAGTCAATGAAAAACCTTATCAGTCATATATCGACTTCCGGATTTTGTTCTCGGTCGTTTCATGCTGAGCGGAATGCTGTAACCTTCGTCTCCGACCTCACCTTGCCCTGGTATCCCCAACGTCAAGGTCATTCGAGAACCCGAGCAATTTTCATTATCTCCAGTATGTAAGATGTTGTTTAATGATGACGCTGATGTGATGGTTGTTGCAGAGTTTGGTTGTTGTGGTTGTTGTTGTTGTGGTGGTGCTAGGTGAAGAACATTTTCGACATCAACATCATCCAGTTTGGCTTCTTGTTCCTCTGCGTCAGCCGCTTCAAATTGTCGGTTGTGTTCAAGCTGGTGGATGGCGTAGAGAGGTTTGTTGGAGAGGGGAGAACTTCTGTTTGAACTGGAGGAAGATGCATCAGAGTTGTGCTGACTGGCACTCATCAGATCTTCAAAACTTCTGCTGATACCATGGTTGTGCTGGCAATATGACGTGGATGATGTGTTGTGCAAAGTTAACTATTAACAATCAAACTACAGTACAAATTTAAACTGAATGAAACAACTTCGCCATTAAGTGAATAAGAATTGAACATCAATGTGTATTCAACTGTATTGAAATGATTATGACATCTAACGCATAGTGAGTGATAAACAGATTATTTCAACGGTATGATCAAAAGAGTGATTTTGCTAATGTTGACGATGATGATGACTACGATTTCTTATAAAACAGATATGACAGCAGCAATTGACTAACATACATCAACAATATCAATCAAAATTAAACAGGTGTTTTTATAACACACACATACACACACACACATACACACAAATATAAATAAACGTATAAAATATAATCGTATGTGTGTATGTGTGTTTGCATTATATGTTTAGTTTATATGTCAAATAACAAAAAAGTTAGCCACATGACAGATTGCAGAGAATCAATATTAATCAATATTATTATTATTATGGAGTTTAGTTGCTAACTTAAGTTTTTATAAAGAGACCAAATGTTTTTTTAATATAAAAAAATGATCGAATATTTGAAAAAACAAAATTAAAAAACACTCCATCTCACTAAAAAATTAGAAAAGGATTCAAAAGGCTGTTGATAAATTAAATAATTGTATTCAAGGAATGTTTGACTCGTGTAAACAAACACTGAATACCAAATGAAAGAATAAATATAATTAATTGTATACAAGTTGAGCATACATAATACTCTTACAACATGTACAGGTACACGCGTCATATTACTCCTCTTACACACTTGTACACACACACACGCGCGCACACACACACGCGCACACTACACACATACACACACACACACACACACACACACGTCACTTATATATTTATTCAATATAAACAGTACCTAATAACTTTTACCTGTATTTTCATTTGGTACGCTCATCAAACAAAGTCTCAGCAAATTAAATCAATTTCAAAGTCTAACCAAACAAAACAGAGCCAGCAAATGATCCTAAACTCAGGCTTATTTAATTAATGTAATTCAATGCTAACTAAGATGTTGTGTCTGCAATTCGAACTAGTATTCGACGTTTGAGTGAAAACAGGAGAATTAAAAAGAAACTGAAAATTAGGGAAATAAAAAAAATGTTATAATACTTATTATAAATATATAACAGAAACATGTTTGAAACTTGATTGTCAACTCCTCAAAATGTACGCCCAAATAAAAGATATAATGGTATATAAAGTCAAATCAGAAGCCAAAAATGAGCGCAATGCCTCAACGTATAAATTACATCAGTACATCAGATTGAAGAGATATGAACATAGAGATTGAATAGGAAAGTTGATAATATATAAGAAGCCCATTGTTTAAACGAAAACAAGAGAACATCGTCATACAAACCCCTTCATCACAGACCGACACGAGACAGCCTCCCTTGGTGGCACTGTTGATGTCAAGAATGGGTGACGTGCAATCAGGCATCTTCGGAGTTAGAGGTCCAATGCCTTCAGTTAGGTTTGTCACTAGGCAGCGAGCTTTTGAGAGATCATCCTGCAAAGAAGAACAAATGAAGCATGAAATTATTATTATCTGCAAAGTATAATGAACAGAATAATTTGTTAACCTGCGTGGCAGAAAGTGTAGCGTCAGAGGGTTTCATCTTTTTCTTCCTGGAGGACATGGAAGGAACGGATAACTGCTGACGAGGTAGGGAACTTGATTTCGTGCTCTGTACAATATCTGGCTCGTGTATCACTACACTGCAACAACTCTTGATCGCTAAGGAGCTTTCTGAAAATTTTTCAATTAATACGTTTTATGTTCCATGAATTATCCTCCGAGAACTACTAAGGAATGTAATAATAATAATAATAATATTAATAATAATAATTATATGAGTATAGAATAACTGATAAAAAAGCAAAACAGGATAATAAAAAGCACAGGCAAAAAATACCTGAGTCATAACATCCTAGGGGAGAAGTTTCAGCAAGCTGGCTGCTCATGACCAAATCTTCCAGCCCTGATGGCTTTGATATACGCTGTGAAATAAATATGTACTGCAGCTGTGATGAAAATGAATGAGACGTGAAAATTATTGATAGTTGAATTCTATTTGATTTTGGAATTTTCAAGTAATATAAAGTAAAATTATATTGATGTAACTGAAAAATTTGTCACCATTTTATTTTCCATGTCCAGTTGAGGTAATCTGCGAAATAACAAACATATGTAATCATAATGGGAATGAAAATTAATCTAAAAATATAACATCAAATATAACAAATAAATTTTGGATGCTACATTAAAATTATTTAATAATTGGACTATATATCTATATTCTGATATATACAACACCTTTACATTATCATTCTGCTGTAGATAATCTCAGAATAAAACATATCCTACCATAAAATTAAAATGATAAGAATATTATGCTTCATGGGTTAGATTAGCTTAGATTATATAAAGACAAAAGCCAAAATATATAACAAACACAATCTGTAATTAGAGCCATTTTCAAGATGACGTCCATAATTAATAATGTTTTTCAACCATGTTACAAGTATATTATTTCTTACCAAACCATTAAGATTGTTATGCAAATTTTGGAAACAGTAAATAGCGAAACAAAAAGGTAAATTTTTGGCTTTCTGTAGTTTGGGTCAGGTTTCAATGATAGAATGGTTGAATTAAAAATAGAACCAAATAAAATGTTCACATTATTATTGTATTTAATGCATTTTCAAGGTAATGTAGATTTCTGGATTTACTATCGTAAGGAAATAGCTAGTGCACATATAGGGCTTCGAAGTTTATCTTTCTAATTTTTCAAAAAAAAACCTTGGACAAAAAATCTTTAATAAATAAAAAAATCTCAGAGACACAGAGATAAAATAAGTAAAAAAAGTTAAAAACAAAATGAACTAAGTGCAAAAAAGATTACTCTTAGAAGTTACGCTAAAGTCCAAACAACCAACCTATCCTTTCCTTCTTCGTGCTTCAGTTCAATTCTTGTAACACTAGAGTTGGGTGTAAGGTCGCAGGCATCATAGAACTCGTCATCTTCATCACAGTCAGAAGTGCAACTCATTTGCTTGTTTTTATAATGCACTTGACTTGACACTTGTTACTTAAAGAAAGAAAAAATACCATAACTAAAAAAAACAATAAAAATTTGTAAAAAATTACAGAAGTTAAATACATTTTTTACCAATTTCAAATATTTATTCACTAATAGTATTCATATTATTATTCATATTCTTTAATTATTTATTCATTTATATAAAAATTAATATATGTTGTAACACTTGGAAATACAATGCTGCTGAACATGAATATGTGTTACTATTACTATTACACTTACCAGTCAGATTAAAATAAAATTTCAGTTTAATTTTTAATAAAAATTTTTTATTAGTAGCGGTTTTTTAATTTCAGTTTGTTAAACTTTCTAAGTTATAATAATTAAATTTAATTTATTTTTCATGTGATAACTAATTATATTTATGTTTAATAATATTATTATTTTATTATTAAAAATACTAGGATTTTTTTTATTAATTTTAGAAATAGATTTTTTATATTTTTAGTTATTTTATTTTGCTACAGAGAGAGAAGATAATATTTTTTGTCAGTTAAATTTTAAAATCAAAAAAACTTTGAAATCCCAAACCTGTCTCTAACAGTCTTACCCTCTAACTAACTAACACTAATGACTAAACTTTACTAATCTCTCACCTAACTGACAACCTAGTTAGTAGTTATCTTATCCCTATTTTTCTTATGTTATGTGAGTTGTGTCCAATATGTCCAAAAATGCAAATAAAATAGCATTTAATTTTAATTGGCAAATACCTATTCTTTAATTTTTATTTTGTTTAGCTTTTTTTATAGTTTTTACTTTAATATTCAATTTTTAATAGCTTAAAATTTAAATTAAAGTTAAACTTTTTTAATGTATTAGGGTTTAGCATTTCAGGATTTCATACCATAAATTAAAAAAATTATAAAATCATATTAAATATTATTGTATAACTATTATAATTATATAAAATTATAAATTGTATTTTACTTGGAATTGAAATTCTCGATAATAATAAATAAGCCGATATTATCCTCATATAATATACAATACAGCAGACGACTTACGTCTTATTAATAAGGAAGTCATGTACTTAATAAAATGTGTATGCGAGTTTTACATTCAATGTACGTACATATATTATAAATAAATATTATACCAAAACCTACGAAACCTACATACAATATAAATAAAAAATATGGTGCATCTAACAGTCAGTGTAAAACGAATGATGAATTCTTGAAAATTTGTACATGTTTGCTGTGTACATATATATTTCATTTATATGGTTGTGTACCGATTTAAATTTAATATACCCATAAATATAAATATATCATATTATTTATTGTCAATTATTTGCATAAAATCCCACATGGAATTTCATACATCGATAGATTATTTTCTCGACTATGGGGTCGAAAGTTAATCATTCTTCTACTGCCATTGAATTAGCATGTAGGTATTATCTACGTTTTAAGTCTATCTTTCGTGCTGGTGAGACTTGAGGGGCCGTTGTAAGTAGGCAGAATAATAGAAAACGATGTTCAATGTTAACATATTTTCATTTATGCATATGAAATCAAAAATCAAATCACTCTATCATTTAAGCAAATATACTATCATTTAATTAAGTAAAGCTTTCAACTCTGCTGCTCGTGCCCCTATCTTTTTCCATATATATGTCCAGTGGCTGATCTAGAGGAGCCGGGGGCCAATGTCTTCTAGTTGTGAGCAGTATTTCTATTAAAAATCAGTAAAACTCATAGATAATTAAACCGGCATTCATAATAAATAATCTGTTAACAAATCTCAGACAATCATTCTACTTTTTTGGCAAATTTTTTCTATTAAAAACTGTTTTTTAACAAAATATCGAAATATACTTTTATAAACATACAACTATAACTTCAAATAAGTAAAAACGTTTTCTATTAGACAATAGAAATTTGGCCATTTTCTTTAGATATCTCTATCTCTATCTCTTTCTTTTCTTCTCATCCTTTTTCTCTTCTCAACCGTCTCCGATACTTGCAGTGCTGATCTTATGATCTATCTGTTTGTAAAATTCATTGAGGGGCGTTGTTAACATCGCGGGAATGGCGCTTTGGAAATAAATTGATTGATAAGTTGATTGATTGGTTTTGTAATTGCCATTTAAGGTCTATTACACTCTTTTTAGGTTCAGAGTAATCAACAACACACAGGCGTTTATGAAAACATGCTAAACGACGCATAACCAACGAAGCATGTGATAGACGGGGATCTTTTGTCATATTAGAACACGGCGAAACACTGTGAAACAACACCAAAGCACCTTAACCACCAGACCATAACGCGCCATTCTTCCCATTATAAAACTTACTGGAAGCATGATCGCCATAGATGTTACGTTCATTTTCATTGTTGCAGATAATCGCAAGGTGTAATGACATCCGCAACAACTAAAATAAAATTGAATGATGTAAACGCCTCGAAAGGGAACATTCAGAATAAAATTTCAAGATAATATAAAATCATATATATAGAATAAAAAAGAAAAGAAATATAGTTAGAAAGTTAAACATAAGATAATCAGAGGATATCCATGGATATATATATCTATGGGTAAAACTATAAGAAGCATTTATCTGTCTTTGCAGTTAGATGGCAGGTTGCTATTGACATCCCAACCAAAACTTGCAGCACCTAGTCTGGAACGCTTTGTTTTTAAACTTTTGTTTTTACTCATCTTATATAAAAAATTACAACTAAAATAACGCTAAAATTATTTGGACGAGAATTTTTAATGCGTTAAAAGGTTGGCCAATGGGTAAGACATCAATCACTTGTTTTATTTTTTCAAAAACATAGAATTCGTTTTTTTGTTACATAATTAACAACATTAAATTAAATTATAATAGGTTATAATCAAACAAAAAAATTAGCTATAGCATAAAAATTTCAATTGAAAAATTTTCCAGATAAGAGAATCACACTTGATTTGATTAGCAACCGCCACCTAATGTTTGATGGTGACAGCCCTCAGGCAGCTGACATGTTATTGTTATTTATAAGTTATTTATAGCTAGCTGTTCCTATTTCATTTCATTATCAAGTTTTTCATTCACAATGTTAATCATATCAATTATTTCATTCTTTACATGTCAATAATGGTTTGAGTTTATCATAAAAATAAGCCATTTTTCAATGTAATAAAAATAGAACACCTTTCAAAATCTCAAAACTAGGGAGAAGAGTTTAAATGAATTGACACATATGAGACTAGACAGAGAAGATTTGACAAGCCTCGATGGACTTGAACTGGCTAGCCCTCTTACCACTCATTTATATTTACAACATGTAAAAAATAAATTCATCATTTGGTAGTGAAAAGTACGCAAGATAATCATAACGATTTAATTAATCCCAGAATTTGATCAGTAGCATGGATCATCTGTTGGATAGTGGATTAATCCATTTAACTTTTTTAACTATGGCACACAACAAAATCAAGAAAATACCTAATTTAAATGTTTTAGGAACTTTGTTCTTTTTAGATGTATCTCATAACTGCATCGAAACAATAGACCCAAGTAGGTGACTGTGACGGTTATGAGTGGCTTAACTAACTAAAAACACATTTCAACTTATAAAATATACAGGCTTTCTACCGAAATCTCTTCAAATCTTCAACATGGCAAAAAACCCCTGCTGTAATGAAGAGACAATAAGGTACCACATTATTTTCAACTACAATTCATATCATCCATTTAACATTGCAGCTCTATTTTAATTCACATTAGATATAAAAAATATAAAAGAAGCATATAAATCAAATATTTCAGAAAGATAAAAACAGTTCTGCCTATTTTGGAAGAACTAAACGATGAGAGAATAGTTGATAATGACTCTGTAAAAAAACTGGACATGACAGGTTCATCTTCTTCACGTGTTGATTTACCTTAATTAAATGCCATTAAACACTACCCAGAAATATCAGATGAAAAAGTTGAGAACGAATCAAGAGACATAAGATTGTTCGCATGTGATATCTTGATTAGATCACAAGGCAGAGTTGAGAAATCAAAAGTTGAACATTATCAGAAAATGCTTGAATTGAATAAATACAAATTTCTCAAAAAAACTAATGAATAACCTGTGAAAAATTTATAAACAATGTTCTAACCATCAATTCATTTCAGTGGATCAATAATAATGATCATTTCAGGACACCAACAATAAAGTTTTTCAAGTTAAATTTAGACCTTTATTATAACTGTTCATTGTATTATTTGAAGAATTTGTTGATAAGAAATAAATTTTATCAATCATTGATAAAAATTTTACATGAAAAAAAAATACAAATGTAACTGTCACAAATAAATGATGATGAAAAAGTGGTGATTACTGATAATACAACTCCAAATTCATGCCATCGTGGATCTCATCTGCAAACAAAAAAAATAAAACACCTCATGATTAAATAATATAAAAAATTAAATATGCAAAAACTTACAATCAGCAAGTGTCACATGATCCTTGAATATTGTATACCTGAAAGGATATGGGAAAAAATGTTTCAATCTAAAAAGATTTACAATTATTCAGTAACTCTTGAACAAGAAAAAAGTATGCAGACCATTTTTTGAGCACAATTTTGTCATGCCTTGTTCCTGTTTGAGCTGCAATCAACTTCTTCAAATCTCCAATGGTATCGTCAGGACTAAAATTTAAACCAAAGTTATCATTTAAATTTGTATTAAAACTTCAAACCTAGCATTAAAACTGAGATCCAACCATTACATCAAGATCACAAAACATTTCCTCATAAAATAATAATATTGTCATGCACAATGAAGGAAAATGTCTGTCACACACATGTATTTTGTATGTGTGTTATTATAGGATGTTATATTATGTATTATATTGTTATACAGGTTGTTATTTGTGACAAGTTTGAACATGTTAACCGCTTTTCACAAACATTGATACTAGTTAGTAATAGATATTTAAGCTGTATATAGCTGAAATCTCAAATTGAGATATCAATAAAAAACAGCAAAAATAATTTCCTTCTGCTCACATGTGTACTCAACTTTTCTTTTTGCCCTAGTTAACATGTGCTTATGGATTTTAAGTAAAATTTAACAAATTTAGAACTTTTCACAAAACTTAGGCTAAGGTGATAACATGTTTTTTACAACAAATGATATTCACACAATATCTTCAAAGGCTAAATATGATATTCACACAATATCTTCAAAGGCTAAATATGATTTCTTTTCATTCACTCAATTAATAACCTGCATTTCTTTACATTTTACAATAACCCTTATCAAATATTATCATAATCATATCATTATTAAAGAAATAATGTATTTTAAAGCAATTAATCATATCAACTAATTAAATTCTATTTGATCTGATCAGATATTTTTTTAAATATATATATTACAACATACAACATGTATAAGGCTATGAACAAGTTGTTACCAGTATATCTAGTAAATAAAATCTTTAAAAAACCAGCTTCTTTAACAGGTGTAAAATTGAGATCAGACTATGGCAACTTACTGGCAGTGACAACTACTCAACTACAAACTGCAACTAGAAATATTGCCGTGCCAGGACCAATTGCCTGGAACAATCTTCCACAATCGCTAGGAATGCCTGGACTAAAGCTTGATGATTTTAATTTTTAAGAGGAACTTAAAAACATATTTATTTTGACATAGAAATACTTTATCGATTTGTACTTTATTGACCTTCACTGATTTCATTTACAATAAAGAGCGCTTTCGAGAAATTTTAATTTTATAATGCACTTAATAAATTGTTGATAATAATAATAAATAATGCGGATACACGATTGGATACAGTAATCCTAAAATAATGTATTAAAAATATAAAAATAAATTCATACTCTACACATTTAGTTACGTTATTCATATTTACGTGTCTACTACATAATGATAATCATGTGGGTTTAGTTAGGACCTAAAACCCTCTAAAAAGTCTAAATGTTAGGTTTTTTTAGGTTGTTTATGTAGGAATTCAATGCACTAATTAACAAATTATCTAATGTAGGATTTAAAATAACATAAAAAAAACAATTAACTAACTTGCACTTAATTCGAACCTTTTTTCCCAAACGGTCGTTGCACGTAATTTCAATCATTTTTCATTTAACGAACCAGGCGAGACTGTAAAAAAAAGAAAATTCGCAATTTGTTCGTTCGCTCGCTCGTACAAATGCGGTGTGAATGTTAAGTGCCGCAAATTAACTAACCGAATGATTCAACACAATCCGAATAAATACAATCTAACGAAAACCGATAAAGACTTGGTTATTTTATTTTATGGAAATTGTATAAATAATTCCCTAGGCTTAGATTTGATATATGTGATTCATATAAATTGAATTAAAATGAAAATCAAATTTATAAAGCTTTGAGTAAAAATATAACGTAAAATCGATAGTTGTTATTAAATGTGAATTATTTAAAATATTTTCAGTAATTCAAAAAAATGTAAACATCCATAGTGCCCTTTTTTCACAGAAACACAAAAATTTGTGCTGTTGGTAAAACAATCACTGTATTACTTTTCCTTGATATGTAAATTGAATTGATTCAAAATTGTACTGTATTCTGATAATATGTACAAACAAAATGTAAATTTATAGATAGAGTCCATTGAGTTAATCATAGGAATTGAAATAAAAATTTTTTACTAATTTTTTCTAATTATATGGATCGACACATATCGGTAATGAATGTTTTTAGCGGTTCCAAATACCTTGACATCTATCTAAACTTGACATCACTAAAATTTAAAATGAAAATCAACAAACATCAAACGAAGTGAACATCTCCATTTAGTTAGTTTAAACCTGAGTTTATTTTGGTGTTTTGCGGTTTTGAAATGATGGTGGTTTTTATTTAATTTAACTAGTTTAAAAAATTTTCAATATTTTTAATCTTAAATATACTTTTTTCTACAAATGTGTAGATGATTTTTTGTAAATAACTTGAGAATAACTAATAACACAAATAGCTGTAATTAATAAATTAATTTAAAATTTATTAATATTAATATTAATTCTGAACAAAAAACTAAAACTAATGCTAATTTTAAATAAATTCTTTAAAGAATAATAAATTAAATAAAAAATAAAGTAAATAACCAAAATAATGTTCAATAATTAATTTTATTTTTAATATTAATTTGATTTCTTGTCAAAACAAATTATTTCAACAATCAATCATCAATGTAGTAATCGTAATGTTCTAATTTTTCATATTAAAAATAAAATTAATTAATTAATCATAAAATTTAAATCATTATTGTCTTTGTAATTGTGGCATTTAATTATTGTATAATAATAATATATTATAATTATTATATATAAATTTTAAAAAGTTAAAACAAAATTTCAAACTAAAAGTTAGAGAGTTAAAAAAATTAAAAAAACAATTTCAAGTTTACAATTTAGTAATTTTTTTAATAAAATCTTTTAGATTTAAATAAAGTTTATTCAATAAAATAAACATATTTTGATTTTTTATCCAGAAAATTAAATAGAAAATAATCTTTAAAAGTAAAAAAATGTATAAATTATATAAACAACATAAATAAAACTAATTTATAATTTTTATTAATATATCCAAATTATATTGAAGTTTACATTTTTTTGGTAAAAATTTTGATACCATCCACACCTTGTTTGATGTGATAAATATAAAAAAGCTATTCACCAATTCCATCTACTTAACCGTCGTAGACAAGCAATTTAAAAGCAAGCTCTACTGGTTTAATTAACTTAATTTAATAGCAAAATTCTGGGCAAATCAGATATGGCCAAGAGCACCAAACGAGCCTGGAAGTTGCGTTAGTGTCATATTTTTTTAGAATTTCATTTGTTTGATTTCTATTTGTAAAAGATATAAACTCTTGATTGGAGTTATAAAAACTATTGCTTGATAGTCCAACACTTTTTAAAAATAGTCTATGTCACACCATATGACACCACATAGCTATTAATTTGTTTTTGTTCGGTGATGAAAGGCATGTAACATCAAATGACATCACATCATCATTATTTATTTCATTGTTGATAATATAATATGCATGCTTTCTTCATCACACTTTAACCACCAATAATATTGATAAATTGATAATTCAGTGCTGATCATCATCTGCATACCCCCTCTATCACCCACCACACCACCCACATAACACTTTGTAATACTATTTAACGATGATAATTGACTTGATAGAGGAGTTCCCATCAAATGCTGGTGCGGTGAATTGTTTGTCGATTGGGCACAAATCTGGAAAGGTGCTGGCCACAGGAGGGGAGGATAAGAAGGTCAACTTGTTTGCTATCGGGAAAACAAACTGTATACTGGTCTGTTGAATTTATTTTTTCCATATAAGATTTTTATTTTGGTATATATTTTTTTAAAATATATATTGTCCTGGTTATGACATTAAACTGACTCTCACTGCCTTGTGAGTGATGTTGGATCATCAAAGGCTAGGCCCACCGCTTATAACTGTGGTTGCATAAGGAAGGGCGTCCTGCGTAAAAATTAGCCAAATAAATTACTTATGATGACAGAAGTGACAATGGTTTCATCATAGGTAGCCAAACGGCAACCCCTGATCTCGGGGAAAATGTCGTCTAAACGTGTGTTGTTGTTGTTGTATATATTTTTTTAAAAATTTATTTCATTAATTTTTTTTCTGTTTTGAGTTTATTTCATTGATAATAGTTTGTGTATATTATTATATAGTATCATTATATAACTTGGTTGATTTTTTTTTGGTCAGATTAATAATGTTTATTATTTTGAAAGATATAACCATGGATATAACCATCTCATGCATATATATTACATTTATTTATAAATATTTAACTAGTTTTTGTGTGGTTTTGATTAAATGCTTTGGTTATGATGATGATAGTAGTGATTATCTTATTTTGTTCAATTTGTTAACCAATGATTAAATAAATATTTGTTTTATTATCAATCAGTCAATATATTATTCTTTTGTTATAATTATTAATCAATTACATGTAGAACAACTATTGTAGTTAGAGCAATAATAATTAGTGATTAATAATGACAGGTGACAGACATTTGAATCATTATATTTTAAATTCTCACAATAAATAAACTGTACAACATAATTGTTTAAAATGTTTGAAAAGTAAATGATGTTCTATGCTAACTTTTCCACATTCAATTCACCATGATTATTCTTGGCTTGAAGTTATGCATCAACCCAATTTTTTACAAACAAACAAATAAATTATTTGGTACTAAACTTTTTTTAATCAGTAAATTTTTCAATTCTTCTTTTTTTTTAGTTTTTTTAATCTCTATATTTGTTGAGTTGATTATATTATCGACACACACACACACACACGCATACGTACACACACAAACACACGCACACATAAATTTCACTCACATATAACATATACCTGGGTGTGTGTCCGTGTGTGTTTGTGTGTGTGTGCGTGCATGTATTAATTTAAGTTTACATCATACACCCCAGATAGATGGGTTAATTCAATAACACTTGTTTACCTGTTGCGCTAGTAGGCGATGATGATGATGATATTAAAAAGTTGTTTTTGATGATGATGATAAGATAGCAGTAGTAATGTAATAGCGGTAGTAATAATGGTATAACAGTAGTAGCAGTAGTTGTAGTAGTAGTAGTATTAGTATTATTATTATTATTATTAGTAGTAGTAGTAGTAGTTGTTGTTGTAATAGCACTAGCTATAACAGTTGTAGTAGTAGTAGTAGTAATAGTAGTAGTAGTAGTAAGGAAGGTGATTTGCTGCTAAAAATGTTCATCATGTTTTTTTTTGTAAAGGTTTTATTAAAAGATAGTAAAGGTTTAGACGCATCTGCTAAAGTGTTTTGTTTGTAATACAGTGTAGAGAGGAAGTATAGGAAGGTGCTTATGAAGATAGATTATAATAAATAAAAATGTATCATCTTCGTTCTTTGTTTAGTGCCCTTGATTCTGATGTGAATAATGTGATGTGAGGTAATGGGATGTGTTGTGATTTGAAGTGATGTAATGTAATGTTATGTAATGTGTTGTGATGAGATGAGATGTGATGCGATGTGGTGAGATGTTACTTATAAACTTTACCTTGAATGTGTTTTGATATCTAGAGACTCTGATGATGTTCCACTAATAAAATAGCTTGATGATGATGACGATGATGAGGAAGATTGAATGATGAAATTTTATAAAAAAAATATGTTAGCACCAATGATGATGATAATGTTATTTAATTCGTGTATTACTGGATGATAGTAAAGATGTTGGCTAGATTGTTGTTGCTGGTGATGATGTGAGTTAGCCACTGGTGATGATGATGATGATGTCAAGGCCATGCTAATTTTTTTTCTGTTGTAGTTGCTTTTTATTGCTTCATTGAGTACTTCATTAACTTCACCAACATGAACTTGCAAATGCATTGTCAGTTTCATCATTGCATATGTGTTTATCATCATGTTGTTCATGGTGCTCTCTCTTCATGATGATGTTCATTCTTTTGTTCATCCTGTTGTTCATCCTGTCGTTAAACATGTTCACCATTATGTTCAAGTAATTTAAGAATACTACTACCTTGTTGATGTGTTGCACGGGATGGGTTGTATCATCCAGGCATATTTATAATTTACGTGATGGTAATGATTGTTATGTGAAGCTTATTTTAGATCTGTTATATTTACTGCTATAATATTGAGTTGTTATATTTTTCCATGAGTAACATTTTACCGTAGTTTATTCAGAAGTTTATAATTTTGTGTCACATGCTTGTGTGTGTAACTGCATAGTAGTCAGTCAGGATAAGTATAACAATGAATGAATGCGTTTAATTGATAAGGGTTTGATCCTATCTTGATCTCAATTGTTTGTCTACAGCTCACTAACTCAATAAAAGAATGACGTTTTCGCTTAACTGTTCTTAACTTTATGAATCAACATTAGCTAGCTCTCTTTGTGTTCACATGTTACTAATGATTTGATAATAATAATACTAACAACAACAACAATACGAATAATAACAATAATAATAATCATTATAATAATTCAGTGAGGTTCTTGCTTTTACTCGATTTTTTCATTTTTGTTTATTTTTTAATTTGACCTCAGCTGTTTCGGGGTCTATTTTTTATGAAGGAGTTATATTTTTTCCCATGTTTTTTTTAAAGAAGTAACCTAAACAATAATTAATCACTTCTGGCATATTTTTCTCCAGATGCTAAATCTTTCTTCATTCTAACTTGCACAAAACCACTCATAGTTATATTTTTCATAAAAATTAATTTGAGTAAAAATAATTCAGAATAATTCAGTGTTTTCATTTAAAGAATTAAAAAATTATTTATTTGCCAATCCATCCATCCATCCATTTATTCATTCATCCATCTATCCATCCATCCATCCCATCTATACATTCATCCATCCATCCATCCATTTATTTATTTATTCATTCATTAATTAACTTTTAAATAGATAAGACTTAACCAACCAACAGTTATTATTAATATTTCCTCAGAGTTTGAGAGGCCACTCTACGTCAGTTGAATCCCTCCGATTCAATGGAACAGAAAACTTGGTGGCAGCTGGTTCACAGGGGGGTGTTCTCAAAATCTGGGACCTCGAGGCATCTAAGGGTACAGGATTGTTTTTATTGTTTTTCATTTTTGTGTTTTTTTTGTCTTTAAATATTATTTATTATTATTATTTATCAAATATTAATTTATTCACTTTTATTTGATTATGAGGTTTAATTTTCTGGTGATTTTGACCAGCATTTTATATTTTTCATCATCTGTATGATGACGAAATTCATTCAACGCATTGAAAGTTTTTTCTTATCATGTTGGGTCGTGTTATCACGTTATATAGCATGTATATGGTTAATAGTAATTGATATATATATATATATATATATATATATATATATATATATATATATCATGTATCATATATCCTTTCTTTTTTTCTTTTGGATAATTTGTATTAATTTGTTGGGAGTTTTGGTTTTTAGTTGATCAAACGAATTAAGCATTTGAGTTCAGTTTTTATAACTTGTACCTGCTTATTCACACCTGGATAAAATTAACAGATACATAAACAACTTCATGTTCTTCTACTTAGTTTAGTTTATAAATTAATTATTATTTGTTGTTTTGAAGTTAATTTATACTGCATGTGTTTTATTAGTATGGATATTTAGTTCGGTATTACATTACCTGGCCACCACTAGCCTCATTACTGATATCATTCTCACTGTGCAACTGCTATTTGCAATACATCTAGATATTTAATTAATGTGAATATGTTGACACACTTTTGTTTACTATAAGCCTTCACTGGGTTTTTCTCTAATTAATTAATTCATTCATTCATTCGTTCATTCATTAACCTTCATTTTTTCATTTGTTTTTTAATTAATTCATCGAATTTTGTTTGCATACCTGGATGCATTTCAGTGCTGAGAACACTTTCTGGTCACAAGTGCAATGTGAGATCTCTCGACTTCCATCCATTTGGAGAGATTATTGCAAGTGGCTCTATGGATACTAACATCAAGGTCCGTTGATTGGTTGATTGGTTGGTTGGTTGATTGGTTGGTAGTTGGTTGGTTGGTTGTTTGGTTGGTTGTTTAGTTGGTTGGTTGATTGGTTGGTTGGTTGGTTGGTTGGTTGGTTGGTTGGTTGGTTGGTTGGTTGGTTGGTTGGTTGGTTGGTTGGTTGGTTGGTTGGTTGGTTGGTTGGTTGGTTGGTTGGTTGGTTGGTTGGTTGGTTGGTTGGTTGGTTGGTTGGTTGGTTGGTTGGTTGGTTGGTTGGTTGGTTGGTTGGTTGGTTGGTTGGTTGGTTGGTTGGTTGGTTGGTTGGTTGGTTGGTTGGTTGGTTGGTTGGTTGGTTGGTTGGTTGGTTGGTTGGTTGGTTGGTTGGTTGGTTGGTTGGTTGGTTGGTTGGTTGGTTGGTTGGTTGACTGATTAAGCAAACAAACAAATGTAAACATACTTATCAAAATTAATTACCATAGTTTAGTTAAAAGATTAGATTGATTTCTAAGCAGCATTTATTTCACATGTGAAAGTCTATTCTCTCAGTTAATGGTTGAACCATGTGAGCTGCCCAAAATTTTCCATTGTGTTAATGTCAATTTCTTTTGTTATGCTTGCATTATTATATTCAGGATTTAATTGCTTTGTACCTTTATTGGTCTATCAATGATTTAATGACTTGACAGACTGTTTAAGCACTTTATTATGTCATTCTATCTCACAGGGTTATCAGCTGTATTATTAGTTAAGCAGTTCAGTATTGTTAGTACTTCATTGATGTTGATTGTGATGGTTTTATAATTTTTTTTAGATATTTTAGAAATGTTAATCCCATTACAATGAGAGTGATAGATGCCACAAGCTATTATTATTTTTATAACAATTACAGCAATATTATTCTTCTCAAAACAATTTGTACATGTACAACAATTAAATCAGCTCATAAATTATGATGGCTACAAATATATCCTAGGCAAAAAATTTTAAATTGTCATTTTAATCACCTTTTTACCTCATAAGATATCTGAATTTTTGTATTTTCCTAATATTTATATCTATTTAGTTTAGTTTAGTTTATATCTATTTAGTTTCAATGTGGTCTTGTTGTTAACTTTGTTAAAATTATTTTCATTGAACAAGGAAATAATATTTTTTTTAAATTATTTTTTTACTAATTTCAAGTGAACAAACAACCAAGTTAATTTTTTGACTTATTCTACTAACTTTTTTTCCACCAGTTATGGGATTTCAGGCGCAAGGGATGCATATTTACATACAAGGTGGTGCTAATTTGTCATTTTTTAGAAAAAAATGTGCTTTGTATTTCACAGATTATATTCATGCACATGTACTGTGCAAATTTGTCATTATCTTTGATCATATTCATCCCCTATCTTCTATCATTCATATATTTAAGATACTCCAAAGTTTTCATTTTGAATGATTATTTCACGATTTAGTGTACAGTTTTTGTTTGTTTATCTATTTAGAGTAGTTAAGTGTTATGAAAACATGGCAGTACCATTCACTGATATATGTAAATTTGATTCTCATATGAAAGTTGATCCTAATGTGGGTTTAATATTTTTTAAATGGGACCAGATAAGTTATGAAAACAGCTAATGACCATCTGTAATATAATTTCGAGTGCTTTTTTAAAATTTTGCTGCAATTTAAATATTGTTCAGCTGGTTACATTGTATCAGGGAAGAGTTTGTGGTTTGATATTTTTTTAAAATATTCATATTACATAATGTTTTCGTTGGTGGTTGTTGTTTAATGGAGGTGGGAGGAATGATTTAAAAATTAAGATTTTCAGGGTGAAGTTGTTAGATTGGATTTTATTGAGGAAAAAGTTGTTGGCATGTCAATGACTTAAGCAGGATCACAGTTGCGCTCAATAAAATTTCTCTTTCTGCTTGAATTTACTGTTGAAGCAATTTTTTGCTGACAGGGTCACTCAGGCACCATCAACAACCTCAGGTTCAGTCCAGATGGCAAATGGATTGCATCTGCCAGTGATGACAACACAGCCAGGGTCAGTGAACATTTTTTTTGTTCAATTCTTTTTCCATTTTTTTTTATGATTTTGCTTTTTGTGTGTTCGTCATGATAAATTGTTTACCATTTTGCATTTCCAACTTTTGTAACTATTTAGTGAATTGTTTGGCATAAAATAAAATTTGTAAATTTTATTTTAATCAGTGAGTCATGCAATGTTAGTAACTAATATGATATGATTACTTCTGCAGCTGTTTCCTATTCATATTTTCAAAATCACACAATCTCCTCAACCATATAAACCACTTATAGTTTGAAAAATGGTTTGAGGTATTTTGACTTGAAACTTCTTATTTGAGTTTTATTTGCGGATTTGATTTGAATAGGAAATTGACCTAATTTTCTATCTACCCATTCTATTTGTTTTGCAGTTATGGGATATGTCAACAGGTCGACAGATTGCGGAATTCCCACACAACTTTTCCTCAGTGAACACTGTTGAATTCCATCCAATCGACTTCCTCCTTGTTACTGGAGGCAGCGACAAGTCTGTTCTCTTTGCTAAGCTTTTTCTTCTTGAATTTGTTAACTTTAAATTTTATTGGGTTAAGATTAATATCTGTTCTAGGTTTAAGCCAACATGTTTGCTTATACTCACGGTGGACTGTCATGTGTAAATAATTAATTATGTCTTGTATGTGTAAGATGTTTGTAGATGTCTGTTTGTAGATTGTATGTATATGTTTATGGATATATGTATGTATTTTGTATGTGCATGTGTATGTTTATGGATGTTTTTGTATTTTGTTTGCGTATGTGTATGTTTATGGATGTATGTTTGTAGATTGTATGTATATGTTTATAGATGTGTTTGTAGATTGTATTTGTATGTTTATAAGTGTGTGTTTGTAGATTGCATTTGTATGTTTATAGATGTGTTTATGTGGATTGTGTGTGTCTGTCTATAGATATGTGTTTGTAGATTGCATATGTAGGTGTGTGTTTGTAGATTGCATTTGTATGTTTATGAAAGTGTGTTTGTAGATTGTATGTGTATGTTTATAGGTTTGTGTTTGTAGATTGCATTTGTACGTTTATAGGTGTGTGTTTGTAGATTGCATTTGTATGTTTATAGGTGTGTGTTTGTAGATTGTTTGGTTATAGGTGTGTGTTGAAGGTTCACTTATTTTGGACAATTTCTGTTGAGGCTTGAATTCACACATCACATTCATAATATAAATAGAGAGGCGGTATTTTTATTGCTATGTTTTGTTGCTAACGTTTTTATCAGTATTTAAATACCAAGGAGGAATCATAATTTTAATGATTGCAATGAATATTTTTAATTATTTTTTTTCTATCTGGCCACACCATCACATCACTCCAGTGGATTTTTATCTGGAAGTTGTTTTGACTGATGTTAGTTAGAACAACATGTTTTGGTCCCCGTGCTAACCTGATATTTCAAGACATTTTTCCTTGTTTCATTTTTTCATCTCTACCATACAACTTTCTTATCATATGGCTTCTTATCATTTTGGCTTTTATCATCATTGTTGACATTATTCATTTCAAGCTACTGCCATTTGATCGCATCAACGTTTTATTAAATCTTCACTTCGTGACATAATTTTTTGGGACATCATCTCATAACATCATCATTATTTTATTATATTATCATTTGAATCGACTGTCATTTTGTTACATAGTCATGTCGTCACATCAGCATTCCACCCCATCATCATTACATCACATGACATCATCATTACATCACATCAATCCAACCACCGAACAGGACAGTAAAGTTTTGGGATCTGGAGACGTTGAAGATGGTCGACACAACAGATGGAGACTGCGGTCCTATTAGGTTCGATTTAATGGTCCATGTACGCTTGCTTGCTCGTTTGTTTGCTGTTGCTTTGTACCCTGATGCATTGTCAACGTATTCAATTTGTTTGTTGTTTTTTTTTTGTTATTTAAATTTATCCGATGTCTATCATGGATAGTGTTTAAAGTTTGCATTCATTGAAGTTTTTATAACTATTTTTACAAAAGTTAATTTACTTTTTTGTTGAAACATTTTTTATTCAGTTTGTAATTTGAGGCAGAAGAATTTTTTCATTTCTCATTTATTCTCACGTGTAGTAAATAGCTTGACGGCATGTGGTGCATTGCAGTATCAATTGAAGCTATGCTGTGTGCAAATTTCTAAGCATGCGTGTATGTTGTGTTATTATGTTGTATGTGTGTTGTATGTATGTTGTTTTGCAATTGCTACCGGGTTCATTGATGCACAAATTATTTCTTTTAATCAGCCGTGCACACAACAACGCACGCTACATACATCAACGAACTCATCATCATCATCATGGCATCTGATGTGTGTACGTACACGTGTATGTACATGTGTATGCAATGTACTCTTGCTTAAATGTAAACGTTGCTTATCCTCATACACTACTGTACACACACACACACCCACATATGTTTCAACTACATGCATGCGTTAATAAATTTGTAATTTCGTAATATTATTGAAAAGGCTATTACTACATTTTGAGATCATTATTGGACGAACATGTAGATAATTTTTTGCAGGTATGTTTCTCTTCATCTATTTTGACATTGGATAGATACCCAACTAGCATAACAACTATAGCGTTGTCAAATGTTTACTGGCTACCTTCTTGCAGTTGTACGGTACACGCTCAAAACATTATTATGTATATGATGATGATGTTGTATATTGTGATGTAAGTAAATTGTGTCATCATTTTCTGTTTCCTGGCTAGTCGTAGACTGATTAATTGAGCTAGTATTTGTGCGTGAACAACTTGCCTGGATGACATATCATGATCCGGCCATTACATCATCATCCTTGTACTTGCTCCTTTTACGTGGATGTTAAACACAAATTTGTTTTCATATTTTGTAGAGGAAATTCAACTGGCTGTTATAACTGCAATAATTCTTCAATTCTGTTGTTTTTCATGTTCTCTACTCATCCCTTTCCAACTATATACCTACTGGTTGTTGGTGTTTTCTCACTATCTAAGTTATAAAGTTGTTATATAAATGAAATTGTAATTGCATTGGTAATACACTACACATGTCCATATACACGAGTTTGTTTGTTTGTGTGTGTGTGTTGTGTGTATTTATCTGCTGCCAGTGTGTTTTCAGATTTTATTAAGTCTTCCTGAAATCCCTGAGTTGTTGATTAATCTAATAAAATTTTAGTGAAGTGCCTTAAATTATTAAGGATTAGTTTTTATAGCACCCATTCATTTTTGTTTCTATTTAATTATATTCATGTTTTTGTTGTTTAAAATAAGACTTCTTGAGTCTATTTAACTTTCAACATAACTTTAAGGGTTAAATGTTGCCTTTGTTTCTAATAAACTATCATTATTATTATGAGTATATTTGTTATCATCGTAGCAGGACGACATATGTTTCATTGGCTGGCATGTACATACATATAATTTACAGATGCATATTTAATTCTATGTTGTTCATTGATTAGTTTTCATACATACATACACACGCACGCACACACACACTTACATACAAACATACATATGAATGTATATAAAAAAAATACAAACAAATACAAACCAACAAATAACTACAGGACAGTATTTGTACACCCTGATGGAACGTGTGTGTATGCATCGTGTCAAGATTATTTGAAGGTGTACGGTTGGGAGCCTACGGTATGTTTCGACACTGTGAACGTAGCCTGGGGAAGGCCTGGTGATATTGTCGTCTATCAGAATGAACTGGTCAGTTGGCCGTCTGTCTCGTAACTTCTTTCTCATTTAAAACTGCCAAATTATTTAGTTGCACATTGGTTTGATGTATTTTACATGGAAGTTTTTTCCATTTTTGAATTATAGATACGTTGAAAACTTTTTACACCATTTCATGTGACTACCATAAGTTTAGTGATTAAGTTAATTATAATGTTTAAATAATAAACGCTAAGAAATTATGAGACAAATTTTATTTTGTTAGTTTTATCCTTAAGCAAATCATCTGAGATTTCTATTTATTCAGGATTAAAAATAATTTTCAATCATCTCTTTTACTGGAGTAATATGAAAATAAAAATGTTTAGTTAATTTTTCGAATTAATTTTTGTATGGCTGGTTGCTGTAAAATGATATGCCTTCAAGAGGGTTGTTATATTTATGTTGCTATGGGTTGCGTCGTGCTAGGATATGTATGTAGTAGTGTTACCTTATGATGTCTTATGTTGTTAGGTCTGGTCGTGTGATGATGAGGATGTTGTTTTTTATGATGTGGCGAACATTTTTTTATTAAGTAATCTAACGATACACTCCACCACAGTACACCACATGGTAGTACATTATAGACATTACATTACAAATATTACATTACAAACATTACATTATAAACGTTAAATTACAAACATTACATCTTTATTATATCACTGTTAACTAGGTAGGAGCATCATTCCATCAATCAAACGTTTCAATCTTTATTGCTGATCTTCAAGTTAGTTTTATATTTTCAATCAGAATAAATTTTTTCTTTTAATTTATTTTCTGTGTCAGGCACCGAAAAAAAGATTTACAACTTATTTTTGATGTATTTTCATCTAATTTAAAGCCAGTAGAAAATTATTTTACGTGTTTATGGGCTGAATTTTTGAAATTTAGAGCTAGATTTTGATTTTACGTGTGCTTCCATAACAAAATAATGAAATTTTTTATAAAAATAATTATTTTAAAATGATAAATATATTATACTTTGAAGAAAATTCAACCATTCTGCTTCGATCAAGATCATCTAGGGTCCAACACCAGTCCTTTCAATAAAAAGTTTGTTTGAATTCTCTTGCATGCACTCTACGTTTGTTTGTTTGTTTGTTTGTTTGTTTGTTTGTTTGTTTGTTCTTTCGTTTGTTTGTTTGTTCTTTCGTTTGTTTGTTTGTTTGTTTGTTTGTTTGTTTGTTTGTTTGTTTGTTTGTTTGTTTGTTTGTTTGTTTGTTTGTTTGTTTGTTTGTTTGTTTGTTTGTTTGTTTGTTTGTTTGTTTGTTTGTTCTTTCGTTTGTTTGTTTGTTCTTTCGTTTGTTTGTTTGTTCTTTCGTTTGTTTGTTGTTTGCTTGCTTTTAAAAGTGAAGTCTGGTTCTGGCAAATTATTTTATCATATTTATGGAACTTTGTTGTATTTCACACATGGTGTTTATAACGTCATTTTATTTAATTTTATGGTCTCCATCTGAATGCCTTAATAGGATTTTATGACATTTTTTGTTGTTAATTTTTCTTGAATGACTGTTGAAGCTAATAATTTTTATATCTCATTTCGTTTCATAAATAATTAAATTGAGTTATATTTTTTGTTAAGTTAACTTTCATCAATTTGGTTTTTTAGTTTATTTATTTTGTATTGATTATCATTAGTAGTAGTTGTAGTAGTGGCAGCTTGAAATTCATTGGATAGTGATGAATAATTTTATAATAAATCAAGTGCATCTCGGAGGCGAAGTTTCATAACGAAATCTTCAAATAACGACCCTGCTAACAAAAAGTATTTTTTTGCTTCAATTTCATATTCAATGGGCTTATTTTATTATGTTCTTCTAGTTCAGGGGTGGGCAAATTTTTTGCTGTGAGGGCCGCATTGAGAACTATTTCACCTTTGAAGAGCCGTATATGTACTTAAATAGCAAATTTTTTCAACCCGGAAGAGAAATTTTAAATATTTTTGGCTTCTTTTTTGGTCATAATGTCTGGCTGGTGACCTTTTTTAGTGAACAAGGCCTCGCGGGCCGCGTAAAATAGCTTTATGGGCCGTATTATGCCCACCCCTGTTCTAATTTTATCTTGTAAATATGTTTCCCATTGAAAAACTTTGTTATTTAATTCATTTTTTCAAAGGTCGAGGTTAGTTGATTTCGTAGGGTTGCAATTTTGTAGTGTCTAATGTTGCTGGGTAGTTTTGGTTAATCGTTGCATTTTTCTTTCTACATTCCTTCCTTTTCAACACATTTAAATCTCTTCAAATCTGAGAAAATTTTTTGCAAATTTTTCCATTAGGGGGAAGTTAAATTTAATGCTCTTCTAGTACACTCGCTCACTTACTCACTCACTCGCTCACTCACTCACTGAAGCCTACATTAATTTTTATGTGCAACATCAATTGATGTCTGGTACACATTATTTTCAAACATTTTTTAAGACTCTTATAACTAATTTTTTACTATTTCTTCATGTCTGTTCTTTCAACTTCTCCATTTCATCGCCAATCTAGTTTTGTAGTTCACACATAACAAAACATATTGTCTTGATGTCAGTTTTTAACAACTCTGCTTCGTTTTGCATATATTAATTTGATTCTTTGTAGTGTTATTGACGTCATACGAATTATAATAGATTATAGAAAAATGTTAAATTATTCTAGCCGTGAAATGTTTTAACAAACTTTCAAGCGGTTCAACAAACGATTTTTCCATCGAGACACCAGCGCGCAATACTAACGACAACGATAACAACGACGATGACGCAACCGATGAAAATGATAATGAAGAAGAAGAGGATGGTGCAGATGCGAGATACGTGCCTGCTTCCTCCTTGAACGTTTCTTCACTTGATTATAACCAAGTCTTTAACCCTAAAAGAGAATTACGTTCGTTCATTATTCCCTTCTACAAACTTTTTTATTCATTTCTATTAAATTTATTCCCACAATAATTTTCTAACAGTCGTCACGCTGATGTGATGTTTAATTGTATATATTTCTGTTTTCTTAGCTTATCACTCATTCCTTTCCCCATTAGTATGTAATTCCATTGTTTTATATTTCAGCTCGAGACATACCTCAACCCAGTTCAGGTATTTTGTGTGTTCATGGAATTTTTTTTGCATTTGCTTATTCACAATTCTACGATGAACGCTATTTACTTTATTAGTTCTTAAAATTAATTCATTTGACAGCAGCATCGTGCACGCATGACAACCAAACAACTCCCAGCTTTCGAGTTTCCGCCAATTCCCAGTCAGCAGCCTCGCCTGTCAACAAAATTTCATTCACACAGAGAAATATTGAATCAGATCAATTAAAACAGACGAATGCATTCGTTCAGCAGCAACATAACTTCTTAAAACAAAATCATCAGTTTATTCAGAAGCAATCGACACAAACCTCCTCAAACGACAACACCAACACAGCCACCAACACGTCATCAACATCTACAGCTACAAAACCTTTAAGAAGACCAATAAATTCCAAGCCTAGAGATTCGCCTAGGACGACACGAGCTGGTACAAACTTTCGAACAGCTGCAACAACTTCTGTAGCACCAAGCACTGCACCAGTTAACACAGCAACAACAAATCTTTCAACAACAATATCTACAACAGCGAAACAAGACGACAGTGCCGACAATCCTGCTACCAGATACTTTCGGTTGGCTCCTAATTCAGATGACAAAAAGAACAAATCAAAACGTGTCGACGATGACTTCAAAATATCCGATTTTTCCACTAAAATTTCTCCAGACGATTTTCCTTTGAAACCTCCTCCAAGTTTTCTTCCAAATCTTGTCAACAACCTTGATGATCCTGGCAAGTCTAACATCATTGAGGACTTTCTGCCCGTTAATAAAATTTTCTTGCACTCTTTTAATTTCCGCATACATATATTTAAAATGTCAACTTCCAAGTTTTTTTACAAATACCATTTTTTTTTTCATTCAAAACTTTCTAAATGTTGTTTAACTTCGTTTTATGGTTAATTTAATGATACTGTTATGACTGCTTATTTTGTTTCAACGCGTACAGAGACAGTTTTCCGAGAGCATAAGTGATGAGAAGGCCATGAACATCGTGGGCGGTGGCCACCAGGCAGTCCTCTCTGTCCTTTCCAGCAGGAATCGAAGTCTGCAGGTCTTCAAAACTCTAAGGAGTGGAGGAAATATCAAAGTTCGTCGCTTGTTTGTTTTATTTTTTTCATTTTTAAAAATTTCTGGGCTCTGAGTGATGATTTCGATGTATTTTATACCAAACTTTTGATAAATTGATTGGAACTTTTAAAAAAATTTGTTATTCATTTTTATTCGAGAGTGACAATACAACTAACAAAAGCCTTTTTTCTTTACACATAAATGAATTAGATATCTGAATTTATTTCTAATTATAATTAATTATTTTTATTTATTTCATTTAGTAAGTAAAATATTTACATACTCATAGATGGCGTTGGATTCGGTGACATCCATGAACGATCAGGCAGTCCTTCAAGACGTTATCAGCCTTCTACTACAGAACCCGTACGTTCTATCGTTTTATTTCCGTGCTTTTTTATAATTTTCGTCGTTGATTTATTTGCAGTTGTAAAATTTATATCTGGTAATGTTTATTCTTGCCATAAAACGCTGCAGAGCCGAATGGACACTGGATACATGTGCCTCCGTTCTGCCCATCATCAACAGTTTGATAGGCGGAAGATATGAGCTGTGAGTTAGTTGCACGCTGTTTAAAATATGTCCACTGATGTTCATTTCATTTCATTTCTTGGATGAAATTTTTAAAAATTAATTCTTTTTGTTGTGTTATTTTCCAGTCTTTTTGAATTTGAATAATCTGTATTTGAGTTTGATTACGTTTGTTTTTATGTTTTTTTTCTTACCAAATTGCTCTTTAGTCAGTCAGATTATCTCAGCAACAGATTTGGACAAATTATTGTGTAATTAGTTTCTATCACCATAACAAATGTGAAATTATTTGAAAATAGTCAGTTAAAGTTTCTCGTGTAATAATGTAAATTGATCATGCTCTGAATATCTGTTGATACTACTCTTTGAAGCTATACAGTCACCGGGTTGAAGGCCACAAATTTCATCTTGAGGACGTTTGCCTCTCTCATTAAAGATACAATATCTAATGTATCATCTATTGGCATTGATATCTCTAGGGAGGAGAGGTCTGTTGATGGGTGGAGGGGTTGATTGGATTAACAAATGAATGAATGAATGAAAATAGGATGACAATTGAATGGATGATGTTGATTTTGATGCTTTTAAATAATTACAATTGATACAACGCCAGGGTATGAACGTATCTCTGGCGTCAAAGAAATGTTTTCATACTTACGAAATTCGTACTTCACAGTTTCTTAAAATTTGTTTCAATCTTTTTCTGCAGTTTCTCTTCACTTACCCTTTATTAACGTCATCTGCAGTGTTCATAATTATTATATTTAATATAATTCACTATTAACAACATTGTCATTCATTTACCATCACCCTCATCACCACATCACATCATCTTCATCATCATTACACTCCTGGAAGGTACAACAAGAGCATAAAGTGTTACAACCTGTTGATGGGCATCGGTACGGAACTGAACAAGAGGGCCGCGCCCTTCAGGACACCCGCACAGAACGATCAGATCCGCGAAATCAAGTTGCTCCTCTCACAGNTTGATTGAAACTGGAACCGGTCAGTCATCGCAGTATGGAAGACTTCCTTGAATGAAACTAATATGATGATAGCTGCGAAATAGAAGATAATGTGTATAGAAAATGTTTAGATAGTTCAAATATATATGGGCACGTGCTTTGTTGAGCTAACCTGGCGAGCGGATATTTTCAGTGCATTTCTTTTTGGGGCGTGTGATCTCCACGCTCTCTAGAAATCTTGTTTTGTAAAGTGTCTGTGTAAAAATAGATATATATATCTCTCTTTGTATATCTTTGTTTTTTCTGTTATATATATATATATATATATATATATATATATATATATATATATATATATATATATATATATATATATATATATATATATATTGGTTCACTGATATCTTTTCATTTCATTTTAATGTACATATGAAAGAATGAATGAATGAATAAATAAATGAACTAATGAGTGAATTAGTGATCAATTATTTTTTTAATTTGACGAATAAATTTATTTGTGATGAATTTTTCGCTCCTATTTTTATTTTGTCATTCATTCATGCATTCATTCATTCATTCATTCACTTTTTAATTCACTAGTTCATAATTCGTTAGTTCATCCGTTTGTCTGTTTATTTATTTGTTCGTTCTTTCATTCATTCATTCATTTATTAGTTCGTTAGTTCATTCATTCATTATTTCGATCCGTCTGTCATTGGGTCTTTTCTGTATATATCATGTCACTGACAGTTTTATCACTTAAATCGCTACACTTGCAACAGATTTAATTTTATTTATTACGTATGAAATAATAATTATTTTGATATTATTATTAATATTTATATTATTATTCATATTATTATTCATATTATTATTATTATTATACAACAGCAGCAGTAATAGTAGTAGCAATGATTGTGGTAGCATTTCCACTATTATTATTACTATTACTATTGTTATTAATTAATAATTTTTATTATTATTATTTTATTATCACGTGTTTGTTTGCAGTTGCAGGCCTGATGCATGTGTGGTTTGCGTGTTGTAAAAGTTTAAAATTTGACCGGTTTTTGATGTTCATTTGTTTGCTTATTTATTCGTAATGTCGTTTTTAATGTTCATCTCACTGATTAACTTTTAATTACAATCTTAATTTAAATATTTAAATATCTCTTAGAACTAATAACACGTGAAATGTTTCGCGTTATTATTATTATTATTATTATGATTGTTACTATTTTATAATAATAATAATAATTCTTATTAGGTAAGTTATATATAACGGAGCACAAGACTTTAACGTCACAATACAGCATGACTTCCTTACTCACACATATATAGCAAGAAAATTGTGATATTTATCTGTTCAATATTTTCTGAATGTTATTAAGTATAAATAGAACATTACTTAGTGAATAAACATTGGATATCTGATTAGTGTTAATAAATTAATTTATGTGTGGATAATATTGTCTCGCTTATTCACTGTTTTAAATTAGAATAAATAACTTTACTGGCTTTTTTTTATTAAAGAGGAACGTCTTACGTTGAAGAGATCTGGATAACAGTTTTTGAAAACGCTAGATAACTTTTATTTAACGATATTAATTTTCACTGATTTTAAATTTCTTTATTGGTTTTCTTAAGGTCATTTCTCATGGCCCTACTCACTTTTACGTGGTTTCACCAAATCAATTTGATTCAAGATCATTTTCAGCTATTCAGAGTAATGTACATTGACTATTGACTCATACTAAGCAACTTTTTCTTGCTGATGATTTTTAATTAAGGAAAAACTTTATTCAGAGACAAGTTTTATAACTTCATTGGATAAATATTTTTTGACATTTTTCATTTGGAAGACAGTCATCAAAATATAAACTAGTAAAACATATTTTTCAAAATGAGAACCTGGCAGGTTTTCACCGTTGTACAAATTTTAAGTTTGCAGCTACACGATATCCTTGTCAATCTCAACAGGTTGTTGCAGCCTGCGTCTTTCTATATAACAAAAACTTCTAGCCGGGTCGTTGTAGTTCTTCCAAATTTGATGTATAATCGAATAAAATTCAGGTGGTTTTGTTTTCTTCGCCGTCTGCATCACGTGACTTGTGATGTCATCGTGTTCTTTCTTCGCGTGAGGTAATTGAACGTAAATTATTTATGTGATAATGGCGTGATGACACGGTGATGAGTGTGATGATAATGATGGAGTAATATGAGTATTTTTGTTAAAATTCAAATGAATAAACTTCGAAATTCTTCATCGTTTTGAATAGCTGATGTTCATAAGCCTGTTGTAATAGGTGTGATGAGAATTCTTTCCATATTTGGATCTAAGTCATACATCCAAATTGAAACTTGGAACTTATCATTTTCATTTACATTTTGCTGCCACGCGTCCCGTACTTGAAGCAAAAATAGAATATACCAAGTGTTAAATGTACAGCTCAATTAGAGGGCGTTATTATTAATTCATCGTATGTACTCAACCTTGTTAAGGAGTATGGTGTGATGTGATGTGGTGCCGTGTTACGCTCGCCTTTGCCGATCGATAATTCTCATTTGATAAGTTGCATTTGTCAATCAAGCGAGTTTAAATATTAATGCGTACATCAATTGATCTTATTTACAATGAGGCACGCGATGAGCGATTAAGTAACGCAAGTATGAAACACGTCAAAACAACAGATCAATTATTGCGTTGGCTTGCCATAAAAACAACTGCGTTGAGTTATTTGAAACAAATGGATGAACTTAATTCACGTAAATACATTTAACACTCATATCTATCTATATAAGTGTAACTTAATATGTAACTTGTAGGGTTACACGAAGAATAATGAATGTTCGGTAGAAATATGGAAATAACTTCGCACGCACACAAACGCACACACAACACATGCAAAACCTGCACACGCACAAATTGTCGGGCCGATTTACTCGTAAGAGAGAGAGGTGAACAGAGCATTCGTCATCGTATGAATAGCCACTGAGAAGTGTCTGTCTGTCAGGTTTTATTGTCATGTCTGTAGAATATTTATCTTTTTAACCTCTGTTTAGCAATGGCAGAAAATGTTAACATTTTAATTCGTGCTAATCCTTTCGTGTCAATAAACATTAAAAAAATTGAAATTAATGAAGTAATTCTTGCATGAACATTTTAATTTTTGAGTCTAAAATAACTAATTTCCTAACGTTACGATCTAATTTATGACACATTAAATATTTTATAAAACACAGTTTTTAAAAAATTTTTCATAGCACGGACTTGTACTAAAAATAAGTACTGATAAATAAATGACCTGCTGGTATTGATTTTCGAAAAAAGCCAAAACTTCTGAGTATACACTTGACACCGACCATAAACGAACGAACGAACGAACGAACGAACGAAAGATCAGATCCAGATCAAAATATCTTTATTATTTAGCAATTATAACTTAATTATTTGTTTCGTTATATTACGGATAACATCAACTTCTGAGTTTATTTTTTAGTGAATCAATTTTTTCATCAATTCAAAATTTTTAAACAATCATATATATATATATATATATATATATATATATATATATATATATATATATATATATATATATATATATTATGTTAATTGGTAAACGGTGAAGCCCAATTTTAATTGAAACCAGTTGTATCTTAGCATATTTTTATTTAAGCAGTTGTACCATAAAAATGTTGAACTTCCACGATAGTCTGCCTAATTAATACGAAGCTGGATGGCACATGTTACTAGAAGCTCTTCTTATTTTTCATCAGTTATTTTCATACGATATGCACAACCAGCCCTTTTAGAGAACTTGATCTCTTTCTGAAAATGATTACAAGATAAAATTTAAAAAATAATAAATATATATGTATTCACTGAATAAACAAAAGAATACACAAATACTCCGAATATTATTTCTGCAACATCGTTTGTAGGTAAATGTGGTTCTCATTTTATTCTGTTAATTTTCTTAATTTGTTAAAATTGCCTTTTGTACGTTGTAAGTCTGTCATAGTGTGATTTTTTAAACAATAAAAAAATATGTCTTCATTAGGTAAGGAACAATTATATAAAAAGATACTTTGAGTTAGCACGTGTATTTATTTTAATATTTTAATAATACTCTTTATGAATGTCTGTGTGTTTTTATGTGCGAGTTTGTGTGTTGTACTGTGCATGCATTTATGTGGAGCATGTCAAATTGAGAGGTTGACATGGGTCAGATAAGCGATGTTCTACTCAAGTATTTGTTACATTGCATGGATCCCTGCATTCCATGTGCTTGCTATAATGCTATAATGCATGGATACTTTCCATTCTTTTTATGTGCAACTTTTCCGCAAATTATGAGCTGCTTTTTTTGTTAAAAGTATTTGTAATGACTTCAGTTCACCTAGTAAACCTTTAAGACCTGAGATTGTTCTAAATTCAAGGATTTTGTGAGTCATTCATGAGTCATTTATGAGTGATTTATATATAAATCACGGTTGTATTGCGGCATAACATTTTATTGGTTTCATATTTTGAAATTTAGATGTGGCAAACCGTTTTCAAAACAATAATAGAATTATTCTTAAGAGGTTTGTTTAAAATAATAATTCCATCACAATGAAGAATGAAGAACTGAAAGAACACAAACCAAACTCGCGTTTTGTTAAAGCGAACAACAAGAAACATTCTATAAATAGTTATTATAAATAGAAATAATTAAACTTGATCCAGTTCTCTTCTGGCGACCAGACCATAACGTTGTGGCTCTCGTTGTGGACCGCAAATTTGACGTCCATGATTTATAGGAATGTTTATATAAAAGCATGTGCCTACTGTCCAGTGGTTGTACGTTTGTGTACGGCACTTGAATCCATTTTTCTGTTTATCGGCCTGTGACTGTCTGTGTATGGTTTTGTACATCTTATTGTAATATGTTTGTTGTATTCGTTTGTATGTACACAATGAACGTGTATGCGTGCCTACTTAATTGAATAGCTGATGGTTTCTGAACACGTTAATATTTGTTTTCAACCTCATTTAAATTTTCATATTTGGCGTGTTCAACGTATTTTTTAGTCGATGAAATCATTTTTTTAAATTTAAAATAAATAAACAGATGATAAGAATAATGTAATGAACCACTTGCACCAAAATAATATAAAATTATACGAGGCTATATTGGCAAAATGTAGAAAGAAATATGCACAAAGTTGATGACCCGTGTGACCTGGAGGTCATGACCTCTCCATGTGTGTCCATGTGTTTCATACAATTGCGGAGGATTTGTTGCGTGTGCGTATTTGCTGGCATGCACGAAAATGTATGCTTATGTGTACACTTTGCAGACGTACGTTTACAATTATTTATTCGAATTTATCGACGCTCTTCATGATTGGAATGTCGGCTGATGAATGGATGAATGGAGATCTTCAGACGTCCATTCGTCAACAGTTGCTTGCAGTGCCCACATGGAAGTACAGAAAAATATTCAGATGAAAACATTAAAATGTGTTTTCTCAACTTCAACATAAATTAAAATAATTCATTACTGCTCATTACTGAACACAAATTCTCTCAGTATCCTATTAAAAAACAAAATCTACATAAACTAACAAACATGGTGAATTATTGAAACTACTCACACAAAAGTACAACACACACACAACACAGCAAACACACAGCGCGCAACAATACAAGACACGCACAACACAACATACTCACACTTAACATCACAGAGCAACACACACACACATACACAGAAAGAGAACAACATAACATAACACAGAACAACTCAGGGTAACCTTTGTTTCGTTGTTATGATGGTGTTGCATTCATTCAGCGGAAATAGAAATTAACAAGGGTGAAGGTAATAAGCACTTGGACCCATTATCACAGAACGTACGTCAAACATTTTTTTGACATTTCATGATGATGCAGCGTATGGAAAATAACTTGTTGTTTGTGTAACAGTACAATTATGTTATCTGTTTTTAAAACTGTTATAACAATGTTATTTCATATGAAACTATGTTTTGTTTGATCTCATTTATTGTTGCTATTGTGTATGTTGCGTGATTGGCCAAAAAAATTGTCGAGGCCAAATTTTTCGCACTGTACGCCTTGCGTTTGTTTTGTATTTGCGTATTTACGTATGTATGTGCTTAAGTATCTGTTGAAGTACTTGCGCATGTTTGAATAACACATGCAATATCTTCATTACCACATTATTGTCTTGGCATTTGTTACTTCATTCATTCATTCATTTACTCATTCTTTCATTCATTCATTCATCCATTTATTCATTCATTCATTCATTCATTTCTTTATCTGTTTCTCCGTTTCTTTCTTTTTCATTCCATCATCGGTATATATTTTTAGAACAGTTGTCTTAAACTCATCACTAATTATTTCATTTCCAAGTGATGAACATGTATAAAACACACACACACACAAGCACACACACAACACACACACACATACACACACCACACACACGCACACACGTGCACACACACATACCTTCAAACAAATTCACACAAACGCACACACACAAATCGCATTAAACATGCGCGCGCATAATGACTGCATAAATGCTTTGCATTTGTATATGCATGTATATGCGTGCATTTATGTAGGTATGTGTGTGTTGTACTTATGTGTGCGTGCGTGTGTGCGTGCGTGTGCGTGCGTGTGCAGGTTACATGCGGATCCATATGTTAATATTTTTCCAAAAAATGAAACGACGCGGATCGGACGGTGTAAGGACGGGTGGTGGTGGGATGAATGGATGAAAGGATGGATGAATGATATGAACGTAGAACAATTGAACAAACAAGCGAACGAACAAACGAGCGTACAAACGAAGGAATGATTGAATGTAGAGATGTTCATAAATGAAACTGCACAAACAAACAAAGCAGGGTCTTTGATGCTGTTGTGATCTTCTCTGCGGTTCGTTTGTTTTTGTTTATGTGTCTATATGCGTGCTTGTATGTTTATACGTGTGATGTGTATGAGTGCTGTATGCGTATATGTGGAATGTGTGATGTGTGCATATGTGCATATATTTCTAAGTGTGTGTTTGTGTGTGTGTTTGTGTGTGTGTGTGTGTGTGTGCGTGTGTGTTAACAAAATGCTTGTAGGCAAGAGTTAAAAGTTAGTAGAAAAAACGTTGCAACATGATTTAAAAAATGAAAATTAATAAAGTATCAATACATGATCGATATTTTAAAAATTTCGTTACCCTTCAATTTCAAAGACTTCTACAGTTAGTTGTACAGTTGAATGCGTTCTTCTAACGTCCACTTGAACACAAATTCAGCTCTAAAACATTTTTCTTGATTTGTTTTTAATATCGAATAGTTTCATTATTACTACACATATAAATCTCATTTTCAGATACTGTCCAATTGTTTAATGGCTTGGACTGCTTATATTTTTAATTAGCTAAAATTATTTCTTGGGTTCTTTGATGGTCTGTTTTGTTTGGCAATGGACAGAATTTTCTCGCTGATAATAAAAAAAACTTTCTAAGCTTATCAAGATGAAATTATTTTGGTAAAAAATTTATGAATACCAATTTTATAATAAATAGAAAAATCCGCAAATTATTATCCTCGTCATTATTATCCTCATCATCATCGTCGTCATCATCGTCATATGAGTATACCTGACATTGTATAATCGTAATTGAACATTTATTCTATTATTATTATTATTATTATTATTATTATTTATTTTAAGCTTCCGTGTCATGTGGTGAGTTCGCAAAAAAACTCCTTCAGAATTTCAACCAATCAGCAATATGGTTCAGATCTCGAGTGTCACAATTGACGGGGCAGTTAGTTATGTTGGTTGTGCTTTTGTTGCTGTGCTAGTTATGTTGTTGTTGTTATGGTTGTTATTGTTGTTGTTATGGTTGTTATTGTTGTTGTTATGGTTGTTATTGTTGTTGTGGTTGTCACTGTTGTAGTTGTTTTGTTGTTGTTGTGGATATTGTTAACGTTGTTGTTGTTGTAGTTAATGTCATTTATTTTGATATCAGTAATTTTTGCAGTTGTAAAAGTTTCGGCTGTTGTTGTCTCGACTGCTTTTTTTGTACCTACCCAATTTGTGGTTACTATAACCAAAAAAAACACGGAAATAGGTTCACCCCTTTTGTTAATGCTAATAATTAGCCTTCTTGGCAGATTCGTATTCATTCATTCTCATCTACAACCGTTAAAAGGTATTGAAAAAAATCTTTTTTCGGAATTAGTAACTTAGTAGATAAACTTAATAGAAACGGTCAAATATAGTTTTCACCAAACAACATTTGGGAAGGATAATGATGATGATGGTTCATATCTTGCTAGTAAAAATGATGATGTAGGTTCCATATTGATGGCATCTATTTGACTGCCAAACTGTTACTGAGCGAGTAATGAATGAATGAATGAATGAATGAATGAATGAATGAATGAATGAATGAACGAATGAACGAATGAATGAGTGTTGATATATGTTGTTATAGCGAATTTGAAGATGACACCTAGGTACTAATATAAATCATTATTAATCAGCACAACAACATCATCATCATCCTTTTTCTTGTCATCATCATCAGGATGAATTAAACTTCACGTAAATTATCCTCAATTTGATCATCATCGTCATCATTATTTTAAGAAGTTTTTAATTTTACATTTAAAATGATTATTTTTCTAGCTTTTTGTTTATTATTATTATTATTATTATTTTCTTTATTTTTATAAGTTTATGTCCTTTAACTTGTTTGTCTTTATCTCTTTTAATCTATATCAATCTGTATCACAATCTTTCATTATCATTTTAAATAATAAACAAAAATGGATACCTAATGACAAATAATAATTAATATTATTACCATAATATATAATAATAATAATATTATTATTATTAATATTAATAGTAATAAAATTATTGTAACCATTTTCGTAAATATAGTCGGACTCATCGTCACATTCATCGTCATATTTACCATCATCGTCACATCCATCGTCATCTTCACCATCACCATTCTCATCATTTATCACCTTCATCCACATCTTTATCACCATCATCATCTTCATTACTATCATCATCATTCACCATCATCATCTTCATCATCGTCTCCATCAAATCAGACAGGTTAATTTATAGCTCCATTAAGACGAGCAAGCACTGGCACAACTTCATTCACTCAATATGGCTCTTTTATTAAATAAGATTTTTCAATTATTAACATGATATTTCATTTAATATTGAATATTTATTAATATATTATTATTATCATTAGTAACAATAATATTATTATTATTTTTAATATTATTTTTATTATTAGTAGTAGTAGTTGTACTCTAGAGCAGCAGTAGTAGTAGTAGCCGTAGTAGTAACAGTAGTAGTAGTAACAGTAGCAGTACTAGTAGTAGTAGTAGTAGTAGTAGTAGTAGTAGTAGTAGTAGTAGTAGTAGTAGTAGTAGTAGTAGTAGTAGTAGCAGCAAAGTAGTACTAAGTAGTGGTTGTATTAATAGTAGTAGAATTTTTATTATTATAATATTAAATTAAAAAGTTTCCAAAATTGTTTCCAATTTAATTGATATTCTTATATTATTCTTTATTAATTGATATTATATATTATTCTTAAGATTATTATATGTACTTTTTTTTATTATTTGTATCATCCTGTTTGTTCAGGACTCAGAACCGTGAGTTAGCTCAGGAAAAAATGACTCAAACAATGGTGTGAGCCATGGACAATTTCTAAAGAAATGGAAAAAAGATTAACGCTGCTGAGTTGTGGTTTTTGAGAAGATATGTGAAAATTAGTTGGACCTCTCACACTTCGAATGAAGATGTATTAAAACAGTCCGGTTGTGAAAAGAGGAAATTACTACAGATAATCCGACGGGGCAGTCAAAGTTTTTTGGTCGCATCATGCGGAAGGCAAGAATGAAAAATCTAACAACTACTTGAAAGATTGCGGGGAAAAGAGATCGCGGTCAACAACGAACAACATTTGTGAAGTCCTTGTGTCACTTGTTGAGTATCACCACATTTCAACTACTGCAAAGTGTTAAAGATCGGGTTTTGTGGAGGTCGATGGTTGCCAATGTCCTGAAAGGATAAGGCACGAGAAGGAAGAAGATTATTCTGTTTCATTTCATTATTCAGTATTTCATTATTATTTTTTTATTCTTTATTTATTATTTTAACAAAAACAAACGGAAAATTAATTTAAAAATTGTTTTATTAACACATTTATTCATAAAATTTGTAATTAACTTAAAATTAAGCAGAAAATGCTGTTGTCATGGTTACGAAAAAAAGAAGAAATTTTATTGCTTATATTTGAGGGAATCTGAAATATAGCTGAATTACCAAGAATAACAGAATAAAATTTCAAGATTATAAAATAAAACAAAACTTATTCACCTAAACCTTAAAATTAATTTATAAATTGAAAAAAAATGATACTACAAATTTTTTAATTTAATTAAAAAATAGTTTAATTACAAAAAATAAATAACATTTGCGAATCAATCTGTGTTAGTTAAGCACGTTTATATTAACAATTTGTGTAGTAATACAACAATTCATAGGCGTCTAAAGAGGGGGAGAGACATGGGTGGCAAAAGGGGTTATTTTGCCCCCAACATTCAAAGAGAGTTGACGCCACCCAAACAATCAACAACATATAATTACAAATGATTTGGTCATATCAAAAATACATTGCACGATATACAAGTTATTTTTTATAATTCACTTCATCGTCTGCAACAACTTTTTAAAATGCTGCTGTCGAAATGTCACAAATTATGAATTTACAAGTGAAATGGACACATAAAGAAAATCAGGATCAATTTGTTCATCATTCATCCACCTAATCCTATTTCAACCATTCAAATGTTCCAGTTTGATCATTCACTGGTAGACATACACATTTATTTAATGCTTAACCACTCAATCTTCATTGTCCTTCAACCATCCAAGAAAAGTCACTAATCCAATTGTCTAATCAAATTTGATTTTGAATCTAAATAGTTTCAATCGTCCAATCAAAATAAGCCAACGAAACGGCAATGACTTAAAAAATTTTTTTCGTTAGTTACAAAACCCTTTTATGCAGAAAAAACTGTAATCGATTTAAGTAAATCTGTAACATAAATTCAAAATTTTGTACAAATTTTAATGTTTTTTGGCATATGTGTGTGTGTATGCGTGTATTGTATATGTATGTGCGTATGTACGTATGCACGTGTGAATGTGTATGTATACATATGCGTGTGATTGTTTGTGTAAATGTTTTATACATGTGTATACATACATGTATACATGTGGGTATGTTATGTCGTATATGTATAGTAAATGTGTGCGTGCGTGTGTGCGTGTGTATGCAATATGCATGCACGTGTGTATATGAGTATTCAGTTGTAGTTGAGTATGTGTGATGAGTGACTGTGTATGATGTTGTATGTGCTGTTGAATATTTAATGACGACGATGATGATGATGTTGACGACGACGGTGATAATGATGATGACGGTGATGATGATGATGATAGTAATGATGATGAGATTGATAATGATGACGATAATTTTAAGTTAATTTGCCAGTGACGTAGAGTATCACGTTTGTCGAGAGGATGGTGATGTTAATAAATTAATAAATGCATAAATAAGTTAATCAGTGAATAAATAACTTTTTTTTATATAAAATTGTAAAAAATTTACAAGAATTATTTTTGTATACGAATGTGTGTGTGTGTGTGTGTGTGTGTGTGTGTGTGTGTGTGTGTGTGTGTGTGTGTTTGTAAGTGTGTCTACATGTATGCGTTTATGTGTGTATGTATATAACCAAAAATAACATATAACTTGACAATCAATCAATCAATCAATTAATCAACAAAACAACTTACAATGTTTAATGAAACATCATCGTTAGGTTTTCTTTATCTATGCATTTTCTATCTACGTATACACGATATAGTTAATGTTTTAGTTTGTTTGTTTAAATGCTTTCAAAAAAATTTTTCACCAAAGAGATGAAGTTAAGATTAAATATGGCGGGAGTGATTACGATAAAAGTTTGTGATAGTGATAAAAAAAGTGATAAAATTGATGAAGACGATAATATTGACGGTGATGACAAAGATGATGATGACGTTTATGCTAATGAAGATGACGTTTAGGTTAATGAAGATGACGGTTATGTTAATGATGAAGATAGTTATGTTGATGATGAAGATGATGACGACGACGATGACGACGGCGATGATGTTAATATTGTTTTGGTTAACGAACTTTAACCCATAGCTCTAGTTGGGTTGTTAAAGAAAGATGAGAACAGCAGGATGATTATAAGGATGATGAGGATGATATTTAAAAAAGATGATGATGAGGATGGTGATAACGCTGATGAAGAAAGTAAAATTTACAGTTAGATTAATGATAATGACGACGACGATGATAACGATGATAATGATGATGAAAAAGATGATAAGTGAATGACAGTGGCATAACTTTAACAAGTTATAAGATGTTTTGATGTGAAGAAGAAAATAAACTTTAATGAGATCATATTGGCAAGGATTAATACACTGTACATATATATTATATATATATATATATATATATATATATAACCATATAGCACTATCATATGGAAAGTATTCAATGTATTCTACTTAAATATACAATGGATAAACTTGTAAATAAACGTAAGTGTGTGTTGCGAATAAATTAAGTATGTACGTGTGTGTGTGCGTGCGTGTGTGCGATGTATATGTGTGTGTAAGTGTGCGTGAGTGTGTGTGTGCATCTAACTATGTAATTATGATAAGTGATCATTCTATAGCACATTTATTTGTTTATCTACAAACTAATTTATCTACCCATTCATTTTTTTATTCATTCATATGCTTATTTATCTATTCATTGAATTGCTTTTTGCTTTATTTCGATTGAATTAGCCCACTTTGAAAATAAATTACATTAAATTGAATTAGACTTACTAGCTCCAACTTAATATGAAATTATTATTATACGTGCATAACTTTTAGCCGCAACGGTATTTAATGATATTGTTACTCTTTTGCTGGCATGCATGGTTAATTCAATTTAATTTTTCAATTAATAATTGGCGTTAATTAACAATTAATTAAATATAAAATTTTTTGAACCCATTAATCAGATTAAAATAAAACCAACCAACCAGTATGTTAGCAACCAACTGAATACAACCAAGTAAACCAAAACAAAGCGGAAAAACCATTCACATCAAATAACACCGAACAACTTCAAAAGAGAAAATAACTGCCAGATAACTAACTACATACATTATACTTAGAAATTTATTTAACAACACATTTAACCGAAAACAAGAAGATGAAGAAGAAGACGAAGAAGAAGAAGAAGAAGAAGAAGAAGAAGAAGAAGAAGAAGAAGAAGAAGAAGAAGAAGAAGAAGAAGAAGAAGAAGAAGAAGAAGAAGAAGAGGAAGAAGAAGAAGAAGAAGAAGAAGAAGAAGAAGAAGAAGAAGAAGAAGAAGGAGAAAACATAGATAGAGAAGAGCAGGAGTGGCTGAACCTCACTGTAGAGGTACATATGGCCAATTGAAGGATCCGCCACTCAGCAACATGTCTCGAATCAACGTCTCGATTGGAGTCTTGCCGACCAGACGAACGAAGAACAACTGCTCGATGACTTGAGGCGATACTGTCCTGAGAGACGGAAGTCGAAGGAGCAGCTTTCCGAAACGTGACGGTTGGTCCGGGTACTGCGTGCGTACGTACTCCTCTAAGGCGCATTGAGATTTCTCCTGCAAGTTCTCTATGTGGTGGCAGTCGGTGAGGCCGCAGGCGTCTGTTGTGCGGTGGTGGTGATTGTGGTGGTGACGATGATGTTGATGATGATGGTGGTTTTAGTGATTATGATGACGTTTGGGTTTCAATGTTAAAAGAGATCACGTGAAATACAAATAGACGAAAAAAAATTGATGACACATCCTTCTAAATAACTGGAAATGAAAATAAATAAAATATCGAGAGCAAATTGACAACGACGTTGATTGATTGACGTTTAAAAATATGCGATGTTTTATAACTAAATTGTGTAACAAGGAGAAGTGTAGTTGTGTCATTTCAATAGCCTATTTGTAGATTGTTGAGATGAAATCTTTGCCGAGTATCGTGTCACGATGTCTTGCTACTCTGCCTGGCTGTGGTATTTTGCGTCGTTGTTGTGCCAGATATTTTGGTTGAGTTGTGATGGTTTTGAGTTGTTGTTTGTGTAATGTTTAGCTAAACTCAAAAATGCGAATTTGTAGCCTCAATAAAAGGGTTTGTATTTTATAGAAATAAGAACAAAGTAATTAAATATTAGTAACTTTGTTTAATAATATGCTGGCCGACCATTTTACACAGCAAAATAAGCATTTCATTCCATATCACATCAACACAACATCACACCCATACACCATCACATCAACACAACATCACATCCATACACCATCACATCAACACAGCATCACATCAACACAACATCACATACTAGAAGAGAGCAAGAAGGACATTTGAAAGTTTACAAAGTGTGAACGTGAGAACAATCGATTAATGTGAAAAATTAATTTTTTAAATTACTTGCATGCTCCGAAGGAAGTTGAGGAAGCTGCAAACATCTGGAATGAATTTTCGCTAAACGTACGCGCGTGGAATTTGAGTTTTTGTGTCAGATAGATAGATGCATGCATACTCACGCTTCTTGTTGCTATGTTCGTTCGTGTTTGTATGTGCATGCGTTTGTGTGTGCCAGCTAGTTAGTTCTTTGTTTGTGTGTTGGTCTGTTTATTTAATACATACAAATTCGGGTTTTTCGGTGTTCTATTTTGCGAAAAATTTTTATACCTTTTCCTGTCAATTTAAATATGCATTTAGACGAGATTAATTATTTGAAAAATAAAAAAAATAAAAATTGGAAATCTAATTTTATAACATTGTCTTGCGTACTATGACAAATTCTAATTTTTTAGAAAATAATATAGGGTGGCAACAACAAAAATAACGATGGAATGGCACCCAAGTATCAATAGTTCATGATAACATCAGGAAGTACAGTGCCCGCGAGTTTTGGTTCATTGGTCAACCGAATGGCAACCAAACCAACAGAGAAAAATTTCTAATGCTCTCACCTCAGACACATCGCATCAAAATATACTAGCACCACGCACGTACATACAAGATATAGACACACAAACAAACACGAACGAAATACATAAAATACATTGTTTATTTGTTTGTAAGTTAGTTCGTTTGTTTGTAAGTTAGTTGGTTTGTTTGTTTGTTGATACACATTTGCATCGTGGCATACGTTGGCGTGTGCGTGTGTGTATCTGCTCTAATAATGACAAACGCGACACAAGTAAATAAATGAATGAATAAAAAATGAATGTATAAGTGTGTGTGAGTAAGTGAATGAGTGAATGAACGTGAACAAACAAAATGGCAAACGAAAGAACGGACAGAAAAAATGAATGAACAAAAAATAAAAAAAATGAATGAACGAACAAACAAATGAATGAACAAATAGATGGATGAAATGTTTACAGAGCAGGAAAAAAAGAATTAACCTGAAGTTACTTCTTCCAATCACGCACGAGATGAAATGTGCAAGTGTGTGTGTGTGTGCCTGTGTGTGAAGGGTATAACTAATGTAACAATTTTGCTGTTGCTGTCGTGCTTGCATATGATGAATTTTTTGAAGAATGCTGCTGTAAAACGTTATAGAGTTTTATCAGTAATTAATCGGTTGTAATATTTTCTATGATCTCATCTCTACGTTTGGGTAACGAGCTTGTTAAATCTGAATAGGTCTTTAGATCCAATTTCAAACTTGTGAAAAATTGAGATGTGGTAAGAAAGTTTAGAAAAAAATGTTAGGCGGGCGAACAAGGGTTAAGAAAGCCAAACAGACTTAGTAAGAGCGTTTGTCTAGGATGATAAAATAGTTTAGGATGATAAAATAGCTGGATTCAAAGGAAAACCTCAATGTTAAAGGGCATTTTTGAAAATTTTATTTATTATTCGTGTATTAATTATTACTGTTTTCATTGATTACGTAATCATGAACGCTGCTCAAGTGAATGAAACCAGTCGTCAACTCAGATGACTAACGATCACCGACGTCAAGAGATGTAGAAGGAAAAAATATCAGCGGATCATTAAAAGGACATACCGAACACGCAGAATAACCATACTGTTTACAAACAATATGAACATGCAAACACTATACCAATACGAACACTTTGAAAACTAAGAATAGATGAACAATATGAACATACGAACGATATGAAGATGCGAACAGTATGGACATTTAAACATAAACATACGGGCAATAGCACAGCAACATACATACTTAACATCAAATCAAATCAAATTTTATTCAATCAATCCAAATTAATAATAATTAGGTAATGATTAGGAGACCAAAGCTAAAAGAAAACAAAATTCTTGTGTCGCAGGCCACCGTTCACAAATTGTTCATTCTAACACAATTTCTAAGTAAATTTATAATTCATGACAAAATTAACATAATGCACAATTTACATGATTCTAATTAAATAAAAATTGTACTTTTTTTCAATAAATATTTCTTTATTTTGTTTTTAAACAAATGCAAGGAATTTGTAGTCTTTATATCAACAGGAAGTTTCTCCCAGATTTCGGGACCGGTATGTTTTAAACTTCCACCAAGCAGTGTTATTCTTGTAGGTGGTGTATCGAGCAGAGGAGAATGTCGAGTGAACTTTGACTGCACAGCATTTCCGAATTCGAAGAAGTCATTAAAAGATGTTGGTAATTGATAATGTAGGAACTTGAACACAAAGATAGAAACATGATAATTATACAAATTTTTTATGTTTAAAATTTTCAGTTCAGGGTAATAACAGCTGACATGACTATATGGATGTAGATTTAATAGAATTTTGATGAAACGATTTTGACATCTGGTAATTTGCTTCAAGTGAACTTCAGGGCTGTTTCCCCAGATGATGTTGCAGTATATTAGATGTGGATAGATTAATGAATAATACAAATCTATAATTATTGGTTTATTCAATCTTACTTTAATTTTATTAATTACGCCTATGGTTTTATTAATTTTTTTCGATAACGAGTCTATATGCATATCCCACGAGAGGTTGTCCTTGATTATCACTCTGAGAAATTTTGTGCTGGATGTACGCGGGATGCTATGGTTATTCATTTTTATATCTAAATTAGGTATTGTGTTAGTCAATATTTTTGGACCGAATAGAATGTAGTTGCATTTAGAAAAATTTACAATTAGTTTATTATTGATGAACCAATTTGAAACATCATCTAAACTTTTGTTAATTATCTCTACATCGTTTGATGGATTGCTAGTTGGGAAGAAAATGTTAGTATCATCTGCATACAGGAGATGATGAGCGTCAGTAGCCAGATGAAAATCATTCATAAAAATTATAAATAGAAGTGGGTCTAAGATTGATCCTTGCGGGACTCCTGAAGTTATATTTAATTTATTTGAAGATTTAACATGTAACATTATAATTAGTTAAGAACCACAGTTTTACGTAACAAGAAACAACTAACTACCAATCAAGACATTTTCTCACTGCGGTATAAAACATTGTCGTATTTTGCAAAAAAACTTGCGTGTTTAAAACCAGCAATGTGTGAACTCATTAATAGAGTCACTCATTTGTGCGCGCGGGATCGCATTAACAGGCTGGTATAAGAGATGTGAAACTAAAGAAAAATTTCGTTAGTTAAATTGTTCGTTAACTCATTCAATCATTTAATTTTTTGCTCCTGATCAGTTCCATAGATACAATAATTTCTACCTCGCACACATCACGGTAAATATCAATTCAACATCTCCAACAGACTTTAACACGCTTCTAAAACACGCACACAAATACGCCCACGTACACAAGACTCAAACGCATTTAATGCAAGTGGCAGCACACTCAGACAATTATGAAAAAATCAAACGTGACATTTCCACACGGAGCAATGCATCATTCACGTGCACACACACGTACACAAACGCGCGTGCAATCACGCACATATACACTCAGTCACATATACGTGCGTATAGATACTTGCGTATGTGCAGCATTATAAAGAGTTGACCTATGAACCCTTGCATGTTTCAAATGTTTTATATTTGTTTTGTTAGCATTAATTTTTATGCTGTCTTTGTTTGTTTGGATTGTGTGCAGCGGGCAAACGTCTTAGCATCTGACTCAACATAGTGAAACATTAAAATATGAGCATTTTATTACGTACATGCAGAATTAAATTTTTCTATTTTTGACTCGTGGCTTGGTTTTGAGATCAACTTCAATTTTCGAGTAATCAATGAACCATTCAGATGGCTTTTAAATTGGGAGGATCGTAGGTCAATAAATTATGCAATTGCATCAAAACTTTGATCCCAAATCATACTTTTATTAAAAAATTTAATAAAATAATGTCTCCCAAATACAGGCATAAAACTATTTTCATTTCAACATTTAAATCCCTCTCTGTCCGGTTAATTGAAGCTATTAAACGAACTACATTCTTCATTTAATGCCCCTTAAAAATTGGTGTAAAATATCCGTTTCATATGTCAATACATTTCAAATAACTACATTTTTTAAAGTTGCTAATTTTTTTTACCAATTTCTAGATCTCTTCCCAACGATATATCGCGATTTAATGATTTAATGTTTACACTTGGATCAAATTCGTCCGCATTATCGTTAATAAAATGCAATGAATTGAAACACACACATTCAGACAACAAACACACACATCCATTCACATATACGAATC